AAGCCATTGAACCCATAAAAAGTTCGCAGTTGTAGTTAAAATCCCTACACCAAATTCCACACAAAACTATGAGTTTCCAATTTTATAAAGTGTCAGGAGAATTCGTTGTGACACTTGGGTGTCTTCTGTAAATGAGGATTTTGGCGTTTTTCCTGCCTCTTGTTGGCATCACATGTGAAGATTCTGCATCGAAATTGGGATTTTTAGGTCTGGAAAACCTGGAGATGAGAAAATGTAAAAGGTTTTGGTAGGTTGACCGGGAGAAAGCGGCTGTACATTCGCTTCGGCCTAGGTTGGTGATTCAACATGGAAGGTTGCCTTGGGTGAAGAAACTGTGAACCTCCACTGCTAATAGATACAATTATGAAATGCCTGTTAGGAAGATGTATGGTCAGGAGAATGATGGTGGGGAACCTAAATATCAACAGATGGGGCAGCCTGTGGAACAAACTCTTTGTGATCTGGCGAGAGGTACTCGGGACTCTGGACCTTAGGAACTTTGGTCGAGGCATTCCCATTCACTAATGTACTTTATGTTGCAACGGATGCAGGACCTGTGGCAATCTAATAAATGCAGTGAAGTGTTTGGTGCTGAAAGGGGCTGCCTTGTCATCCTCACCAATCATCTCCCTCCATCCCTTAAATCATATGCGATAATACCTCATTTCGTCCACTTTAAATGCTTAAAACTTCTTGGTTTTTAGCATAACCATTTGGAAGCTGGATATCTGCTGATTGATGACCTTGAAATCGAAACTACTTGGACTTCTATTCCAAATTCAAAACGCTAACCATACCTCAGCCATCTGTGCAGGGATTGATCCTTGGTTTCAAGGTAAAAGTTTTATGATACTCAAAGTCATAGCTGCTGAATTCTCTTGGTGGCAACATGCCCTGGCGAATAAAAAGGGATATGGATGATTTTACGTACTTACCCCCAGAGTCACCTAAAGGGACTGCAGTTATACATGGGGATTGGCCAAGAACTGTCCTACGAATTCGGTGTGCAGAATAATACATCACATCCTTCGAAATTTGAATCTTGAAAAAACAGAATTAAAATATGAAACATACTTGATCTTGCAGCATTTTGGAATTTTCCAAATGAGAAATTTCGGAGTAAATTTATGAGTTAACTTTAAGTCATTTAAAGGGAGTAGAGCTGGGAATTGCCATTGATTGAAAACTCTTCCCAACTCAGAGTACAACATAATATATCTAGGGATTTCCAGTTGATCTGAATCTGAATGGGAAAGGAGAGCTAAAATATGAACAATACTTAAAATGATAAAAGGATAATTACAAAATTCGCAACAACAATGCCCTCCATGCTATAAAACCATCTAGTTGTGTGATACGAATGTTTTCAATTTCAAAGATTAAGTACGTGGGGGTCGTGCATTTTAAAGTGCTTAAACGCATTCTCTGACTTTCCACAATCCGAATCTAGGAATAGTATTAGCTTCTTTTTGGTGTGCTTTTTCTTTAAGCTAGACCTCATTTTTTTTTTCAACTTACCTTCGATTTATGTAACCTGTCTCATCATCCTTCTCCATTTTCCTCTATTGTTGAAACCCAGATTTGATCAGATTTTACTAAAGTTTTCTCATTCATGTTAATTCATCTGTTTTCTTCTTATGCAGTTGCAACAATTGCTGGTACTATAGTAGCATATTTGCTTGTGCCTATGAGATCACTTGGGCAGGATAGCTGGAAAATAGCTGCGGCTCTCATGAGTAGACATATTGGTGGAGGTATTTCTCAGAAACTAACCTTTTATGTTCTTCTGTTCTGTAGAAGATGGAATAATTGAATTTTAGGTAAAAACATTTGGATTATGGAGCATACATGTGCGTAAATCATAAGGTAAAGACCATGAATGTAGCATGTGACAATGGCATTGAAACCAAGTCTATTGGTACTGGATCCGTTGGCAAACTAGATTAGAATGGTCTCTCTGTGAATCTCAGAATATCTTAGATATGTTCAAGTATTTAATGAATTTCATCTAGTTTCTCAGTCAATTACATGAAATCGAGAACAAAAATCATTCTTTGGTTGCTCATTACGGTATAATACTCATAAAATTTCATTGATGTTCTTATTGTGATTAAGGTTGTGCAGTGAACCGAGTATTCTATATTCTTGTGGACTGAATCACAAATTTTCAGACGTAGATTATCAGTATGATTAACTGTATTCATTAGCAAATATCTTTTCTGTGCATGGCAGATGTCACGCCTGGCTCCATGCCTCATGCACATTTTTAGATATTTTGGTAATTCAGTCGTTTTGTCAGGTCTTGTATCATATGTTCCATCTCAAATTGTGTTCCTACCAAATAAGTGTGCATCTGTAGGACCCATACATGTCTTATGTGCCCCTTTTTCTTTTCTCAAGAACTGATGATGGTATTACATGACGCTTAGGAAAATGATGATAGTAATTTGGAAATCGTCACTTTTTCACAGTAATTTTTAATACATTTTATTCAGGGGGTACTAGAAAGTTTAATTAGCGTGGAAATGATGAAATAAAATATTTTTAAAGTTTTTATGTAAATGGAGATTTGATGGATAGGACAACACCTCATATTAAAAGGATTTTTCAAGATAATTCCTGGCTTAGGGATGCCCTCTCATCCCCAATCCTCGATCAGTCACCAATAATTTTGCAGTAGACTGTAGAGAATAGCGTGGTAGTTTATTTTTCCTCTTTTCTCGTTTTTTTGTTTTACTTCTATCACTGTTTCTGATTTAATCTCAATCCCTTTATGTTTCCTTCGCTGCAATAGGTTAATAGCGATTTTGCTCTGAGACAGCAGGCCATAAGAAGTTTGACCCAGCCAAACTTTGGCTCATTTGTGGTTCTTTTTCCTATTGGTTCACTGAGAGGATTGAATTCCCTCGCTGGAACCAGATTAAGGACCCCTGGTATTGAGAAAAATTTACCTGATTGGCGAACAACCTCCCACACCTTTCAGAAAGGGAAAAAAATACACTTCCAATTATAATTTTCATTCACATTTCAGGTGGCCAGGGAAACAGCATTCCAAAAAAAGGTGGCTCCTACATTATGATTAGTTGTCTCCGACCCTCATGGTCAAAACTTTATGACTGTTTGAGAATTTTTTACAACATATGTTCATACATTTTGGTATGGTTTCAGAGCTAGAATAATGGACAATTATACCTCGAAGGAGAGCCAGTTTACTTAATGAACAACAGGATAAAATCTAGCGCTATAATTTATTCCACTTTTCCTCTTTTACATTAAAGTCAATGATATTCCCCGTTTTCATTAACATTATATTATTGATGAGGACCTCCAGCAAAGTGTTGTACAGGTCATGATATTGGCTGAATAAGGAGCGTTTTACACACCAGATTATAATCCCACCTTTGAGGAAACCCCACTCTCGCATTGGGAACTGTTATGAACGTCTGTTAGCATGGTTATGCGGTTCATTTGTCTCCACTTAAAATTAAGACTAAAAAGTACCTGATTCTGGCTGCGATTCGGGATAATATGGAGGTAAATTACATCAGTACCGTTATCTAAAAAAGTATGGCCACTCTTCTAGTATATAATGAATCAAAGCCACTGTAAAATAGTGCATCTCCAGATGTTTCGAAAAACATGGTTTCTTTCAAGGCACTTTTAAAACTTAATTCCCTAGTATGATTCTTTTTTTTTAATGTCTTACAAATCGTTATGGTTATGTATTAATATTTCTCGTCTCTCTGTTATAGGTTGCATTCTTTGCTTTATGTTTGCCATTATGTTTCTTCTTGATAAATTTGTCTCAATTTATCATTTTTACTGTAACTCTTTCGATAATATGCCAGCGGTCAATTATGTGGCTGTTTCGGAGGCTCTTGGTACTTCTCCATCAGTTTTGGCAGCAGGACTGGCTGCAGATAATATTATTTGCGCAATATATTTCACAACAATTTTTGCATTGGCATCCAAGATAAGTCCAGAGGATTCCACACCAAATAAAGGTACGTTGACATTCTGTTACAACAATACTTGTTGATTGTATTCCTTTGGGTCATTTTAGATACTATCTGTAATTCCTACTTTTTATTTGGACCTGGTAATTTTATTGTTATGAACTTAAAGAGTGGCGACCTGAAGACTTTGAAATAGCATTCTTAAAAGTTTAGAGATTTTAAGATTTTTTCGTGATTATTTCTCAGGAGTAGTGATATAGGATTGTTAAACAGAAATTCGTTATCTAGATATCATACATCGGTATTCATTGAGCGGTTGGCCTTATGGTGTAAACTTACATCATTTTGAAGATCTGAAAGATCTTCTATCGTGAAACCATGAATGAGTGACAAAATGACAATTTTGGATATAACTGACTTTTCGGATGTGTCATGGAAAATAGGGGGATGGTTAACTCTCCCAGTGTTGGAGACCATATAAAAGTTTATTCTATTTATGGGACCTTTTCAAGGAACGTAAACAGAAGAATGTGACATTGACTACTAGTACTCATTTAGTGAAGGTCTAACTTTTCCATCTTGACGAAAATGGACATCTAAGAGATATTATTTCATGCGATGAAACTTCTTTGGCATTGTAATATCTGATTCCCACCTATCGCACATATTAGTTATGAGATTAAAAACTAATTATTTCGCTTAGAATAACATGGAATTTTTTGAGGGGCAAATTCTTTTAACAAGGTTTCCTCTGCATTGAAGCAGATGCTCTTTTGGCTGCGGAAGCCAGCACTGGAGGTAAACTATCTGTACTACAGGCTGCCAGTGCTCTTGCCGTGTCTTTTGCTATATGCAAATTCTCCACCTATCTCACCAAGGCACTAGGCTTCCAAGGAGGCAACCTCCCCTGCATAACAGCAATTGTTGTAGCCTTGGCAACATTGTTTCCAGCACAGCTTCGCACTCTAGCCCCTACAGGAGAGGCCATCGCTCTGATTCTCATGCAGGTACTGTGTTAACTTCGCAATTGTAAATGGTTCAGTATGCATTTTTATGTGTTTTATGTTTTCTCAAAAGTTTTGGAAACTATTTTTAATACCTTTTACCTCCACGCCCAATTATGAATTTTTTTAACATAGAGAACTGGTTGTTCTTTGTTTCTTTTTCTCCATCCTCTTTGCATTAACGTTTATTTTTTGAATAGTTTCTTGGAATATTTTAGCAATCCTAATTCTATTGTTTTTGAAATATATAGCGAATTTTAGATTACTCGTTGACAGTGGACTCGCATTTGTGTTTTCTACCTGGTTAATCCGATTGTCAATGTTCCCTGCCTCCCTCCAGATTTTGCACATGCTGGCCTGTGCACTGAAGTGGAGGGAAAAGTGGTCCATAGGTTTTAGATAATTTTCCTATCATTGTTCAACCGGAGCTTTCTTTTACATGACTAGTTTTCTGAAACGAATATTCAGGAAGAAGAAGCCAGATAAAACCATGATAAAAGGGCGAAAAGAAGCTTGGACAGGCCCAGAAACTTCACTTTATATGTGGTCTTGATATCCTAAAATGACTTCCAGTTTCTTGAGGCTTATTCTGTTCTACCCGGCCAAAGTTAATCAACCTCTGATTTTCCAAACATGCGAACGCCCTCTCCACTATCACACAACGGATTTATTGATGGCCCTGTTTTGGTCATAACTTTCTATAATTGTGGGCAGGTATTCTTTGCGGTGGTTGGAGCAAATGGGAGCATATGGAATGTGATAAATACAACACCAGGTGTTTTTGCATTTGCTTTTGTGCAATTGGTTGTCCACCTGGCTATCATACTTGGCGTCGGAAAATTGCTGGGATTAGAAAGAAAGCTTCTACTATTGGCTTCCAATGCCAATGTTGGGGGCCCAACCACAGCTTGTGGAATGGCCACAGCCAAAGGATGGAGTTCTCTGATAGTGCCCGCAATTTTGGCTGGGATCTTTGGGATATCCATTGCCACCTTTCTTGGTATTGGCTTTGGGGTTTTTGTTCTGAAAAATCTATAGCCGGTTCATGGGGAAATCCTATCTGAGCCCTGATACAGGTACTGGATTTTATGCTTTGTCTGTTTAATTAACAAAACTTTTAGAGTTATTGAGTCATCCAGCTCGAAACCAATGTAGAAAAGCAAAAAATGCCCATCTGTAGAATCGCATGCTTACTTCCATAAGAACCGACGCATGACTACTTTCTATCTCATTTGCTCACTCATGTAGTTGAGTGATCGAGGTCTCCTGAGTAATTGAGGTAGGTTTTTTAGTCTATGAGGTACCCGTGGACTCTTTTTTTCACGTTAATGTAGGTACAGAATTCCTTCCGGTTACCTGGGTATGAGTTTGCATTTGGTCTTGCAGATTTCCAGGTGTGTGTCACATTTTTACATCTCTTACCCTGTAATTACATCATTTTTTTCAAATTCTCACTGAATAATGCCTCTGACGATGCTGTGAAATCCCTCCCGAAGGTCCATGAAATGTCTGTGGGGTTGTGAAACTTTTGCCTTGATGGGTATGTGACAGCCAAATGGCAAGAAATGTCATCCTTAAAATTCCAAGCAAAAGATATTGTTCACATTTGCTTGAGTCATACGAATTGGTTATAGTTAATATCAGCAAAAATCATCATATGGTTTAGACCTCATATCAGCACTTGACACTCATGATAAGGTTGAAAGATCGGAGAGATACAAGTCTTGCAATGGCGTTGATATGAAACGATTTGAATCATCATATGTCATACTTCATCATAATAATTTGGTCAAATATAGGCAGCTTTGATCACAGAGATGGGTCTGCAAGGGTCTACTGGTATAAAGCCTCAGCTATTGAATGCCCCAGCAAAGGGGAAACAAATGATTGAATGAACTAACAAGTGTCTTTGGTTAGAAATCATTTGATAATCAATTAGAAATCATTACCAGGATATAAATACCCACGATCTCAGTTGGCCAAGTATGTGGGTTCAATTGCCAAAGGCTATGAGAGTAACTTATGTCTTGTCTTCGTACAAAAAATAAGTTTTGTTGAATTTCCATAAACAGGGGCAGCAGAAAATTGGCCTTTAACTAGCCATTTTCCTAGATTTTTTGGGACATTTTATGAGTGATCCTTCCAATCCCATACTGAAACTCAAAAGATAGAACATTCCACTAAAGGAAAGCCAATGATTGCAAGTCTATTGTTATATTGGAGTTATGTTCCTGCATTGTTGTCTTCCTGCATTGTCAAAGCCCTTAGATACATACCATAAGGAAAACAGAGCTAGGCTCTCCAATGTTATGGTTGCATTTGTTCTCCATCATCATTGTGGAAAGTTATCAGAGATTATTGTTGTTATCCTGCTGGGGTGCTCTAGATGACCAAGTACTGAACTTGTGACTTAGAAATCTTATGCTTAGGTTTTCAAACCAGAAGCATTAAGCCTAGCATGTGTAAGACAATCAGGATATATTATAGGTATTTGAATGTTATAGAAGAGTAAACGAAGGGGGGAGGGAACCCCATAGAAATCTCATTCCCTTTGTCTATATGTGTGCTTATTGTGCCTATTATTCCATCTCCTAATTATCAAGCTTAGGATTATGATATTTGGAACGTAATTGGACATGAACCATCAATTTCACTCATAATTGATAGAAAGATCTCTTCTTGACCACTAGTCGCTTGCCCTACCTCCTTCATTCGTCCATCTACCAAAGTGGTGGCAGAGAAGAAAGGGAGAGAGCAAGTAGCCGGCTGAAGCACTAAAGTTATGTTCTTACCAAATAGTATATATATTAGGGTTGGTATTTATACCAGCCCACTAATATGAGAGAGCAAAAATTAGACTGATTTAAATTTCAGTTCATGAAAAATGGAAGAAAAGCAACAAGAAGAAATATATAAATTACACAAGTGAAAATATAAAATGAACGAATTGTATTCCAACACTCTCCCCCAAGTTAGTGAATGAATGTTGTCTGTTTTCAATTTTTGACAGGAGCTTAAAATGTACGTTGTGAAGACCAATTGGTGAACATATGTTGGTGATGGAAAACTTTACTATAAAGACCTTAGTGAATGCATATACAATTTCATCACTTGTGGACACATATTGAATACAAATTACTTTGCTTTTTAATTTTTTATTTACTAAAAAATTGATCAATTTCAATGCATAGTTATGTTTTGTTTAATTGAATCGTGTTGCAATGCTAATAATAGAATTATTTTCACAATGAAGTTTCATCTATCTATCTCCCTTAATCGTCAGATTTTTTAAGATAATATTGACCTATAATATCTCTCATATATCTTGTGCCATAGTGTAGAACTATGATTCTGCACTTGACATTACCAAATTGTTTGTTTCATGTTTCTTCATGCTATAAGATTTCTATTGAGAAAAGTGCAATATCTAAAAGTTGATCTCTTATTTACAATAGATTTGGTATAGTCTATGTCAATATAAACTTCAAGTGTCAATCCTCCATTCTTCGTGAATAAGGTATCTTTTATTGGTACCTCTTTAAGATAGTTTAATATTTGATAGGCTGCACATAAATGTGTTTGTTTTTGGATACTGCATAAACTATCTACTTATGCTAACTACATAAAATATTTTTAGACATGTATGAGATAAGTAATTCAATTTCCCAACTACTCTCTTATACATCTCCCAATCTACAACTATCTTCTTCAATTGCAACAAGGTTGAGGTTTGAATACATTAGAGAACTAACTAATTTACACATTGACTTCAGGGGAGTTACAATTATATTATGAATATATATTATCAAGGTTATAACTCCTCTGAAGAGGAACACTTAATAAACAAAGTATAATCAGTTTGACTTTATTTATATCCCATCTTGATTGTAACTTTCATAAATCCACAAAAGCAAGCTCATGGAAATTGTTTCAATCTACATAAAAGTTTATATTCAATTTACACATTGTATTTGTAATCAATTCTCCTTATTTCTTAGTAGAACTGCAACAAAAATATTTTCTTCTAGCTCTCCATGTAATAATATATTTTGGACATTGAATTATTCAATATCTCAGCCAAAATTAGTTGACAATAATAACAATAGTGTTCATTTTTTCTATAATAGTAAAAGGCAAGATACTATATCTCATAAGTTTGTGTATACCTTTTAGCAACAAGCCAAGTCATGTATCTTCTATCAACATATTTTCTTGATATTTAATTATAATTTTATTTTTCACTAATAATCTCACATACTAATACCCTTGGTTTTAATATTACAAGTGAAAATTTTATTTACATCAAATCATTGGATATTAATGACTACTTATACAAGTTTCTAATGCGTATCAAATATTCAGTATTATTAACATAATTATTATATGAATTATCTTCAATGATATTATAGTCATATCACTAACAATCAAAACTTAGGTATTAATCCTTTAGATTAATTAATTCTTCATATTAGAATTATATGATCAATAAAGATTATCAACTAAAGAATTAATTTCTAACAAAAGGATAAGTGTATAGTTAAATATGAGTCTAAGAAAAGCTGATTTTGGCAAAGTAATCAACTCTATATTCATGATTGGTGCTCTCTATTAGGCCTTAAAGTAATTGAATGGTGAAAAAAAAAGTTGTTGAGGCGAAGATATGAGGTGCTAGTGGCTGATTTTAGTACTAAATGGCTGTCTCCAAGGAGACAAACTTGAGTTGGGTGGCTGAGCCCTTGAACATCAACTTGTAATTTTTGACAAAAATAGTGCATACTAGAAGGAAGTTTCCTTTGAGACTGAATCTAGCTAGGTGAAGGGTGAACTAGTACAAAAATCCATGTATTCTTAGTGAGAGAGAGTTGAGAGACATCAAATGACACATGTATCAACACATAAATATAGGTTAGGTTTAAATTAAACATTGCTACAAATCTTAGAAACCCCAATTCACCTTGTCTCCCTCTCTTGGTGTTTCACTTAGTCCTATAGTTTTATCACCACCAACTCCCAATTATTATTTTGTGCAGGTTCCAATATCTTTTTCAAGAGCAATAAGTCTTCATTATCAAATAAGTTTGTGGGGTATGATGTCTCATTTATATCATCTTGAGAGAACTCTTGAACATGTAGATTTTAGAACATTCATTTTTTCTTTAAATACACTTAACCAAATCGATTCAAAATTAGGTAAACTAGGTATTTTAGTATAATTTGTTAAAAACCCAAAGTAGGGATTAAGAGACATAGTGACTTTCTAAAACTTGACTAGTCCCTTTATCACCATGTGTTGTATAATTTGTCTCCTTTCCATGGAAAGTAAGAATTCATAAAATAGGGAACCTTTTTTTACAGAAAATGATAGCACCATTATCTTTTTTCAATTGGATAATATCCTATAAAGATAAATTTTAATATTCTAGAATCCAACTTATCTTTTTGATGTTTATGGATATGAATAAAGGCTATACATCCAAATATTCTCAAGTGGGGGATTTATTTTTAATATAATATGAGGATAAAAAGATGATAATGCCTTTTTTCGACTTTTTAAAGGCAAAAGATTTAGATGCTAAGTAAGATTGGTTTTTCAAAGGATTCATTCACCCCAAAAAAAATTGATACTTAAAATGCTCTAGTCACTTTCAATAGGTGAACATTCTTACATTCAACTATGCTTATCTCATTGAGAAGTATCAATACATGATGATTCATGTAAAATTTCTTCTTTTAAAAGTAGAATGTTAATCTTGATTAAAATAATCTCAAATGTTGTGAAATCAAAACATCTTAACATCTGTTCCAAATTGAGCTTGAAACGGGGAACAAAATTTTAAGAGAGCAATACTTCAAGTTGTGTGAATATAATCTCCAATGAAGATAATAAACCACTTTGTTCTACCACTACTAGGTATAATGGTGGGTCCCCAAAATATCACAATAGATACAAAAAAATGCATGAAACATTTCATGTTACTTTTAGGCAATTAGGTGTATCAATGTTTTGCAAACTCACAAGCATCAAACTTGAATTCAGTTACATTAAAATTCTGAAACATGAATGTAAATAGAATTTCAATGATTATAAAAGATCAATATTGCAATGTTTGATTATGAAGATAAATTTTCTCTAAATTTACTTTACTAAGTTCCTTGGTTTGGTTTCTCTTCTCTCATCTATGTTTTATTACTGAGGTAATTCAAGGTGGTAATATATGTCCCATTCTCTAATATATCCAATCATCCTCCTAGATGTTTTGTCAAAAAAATAGACAAACAAGTGTTTCAATCAAATGAGATAGTACCTAGGTCTAATGTGAGCTTGTTCATTGAAATTAGAATAAGAGTCAACATAAGAACATGAAGAATAATTTTTAGGATAATGACAAGTGAAAGAGGACTATTTTCTATTCCACCTACTGTGACTAAGGATCATATAGTTATTATATTTTTCCAACTAAAATAAGGAAAATAAATAATAAATTAGTGTGAGGAGTGGGTCATGTGTTTGATGGCTCTTGAGTCAATAACTCATAATGAGAATTTACTTTAACCAGTCAAAAAACATCAAGGTAGTGATTATTGGCCATCAAAATTTTCTTTTATGATAGGTTACCCTTGATTTGATGTGTTTGTCTCTCCTTGCATGATAGTGAAGATAACTTGCCACCACCTTTGGACTATCCTCCATTATGTATTCATTCTTGATGCTGATGTATGTTATGTAATTTGTAGCATTTCTATACTATGTGCCTTGAGTTCTTCTAGTAAGTGCACCATAAGGCATATGTATAACCACAACTTGAAGTTTTTTCTAGCCTATACGAATTAAATTCTTACTACAATGTTCTCTCTTCATTTGTGTATTCACTTACTGATTTGCCTCCTTATTTTAATGTCATCATCTCAATTGTTAACTCATCAAGTTTTGTTGTATCTCTTTATTGTGAACAAGTATGGTTAAATTTTCTCAAATATCTAACGTTGATCCAAACCCACCTTATGGTTCTTGAATCCCTTTGATCTCAAGTTTCAAATCAAAGATTTTCAGATTTTGGTCATGAATTTAGAAAATGACTGACAGTCCCTATCCTTTAAAAATAACTCTAATGTACTAAGACCATCCAAAATAAGTTTAACCATCTAAGTGACCTATTTGGGGTAAATCAATAATTATCATACTAATAGTTTAAATTAGCCCCTATGATTTAATTATAAGTTGTCTCATGTATTTTGATTGGAGTGTAATGAGTTGATCAGCTGATAACCAAATATTCACGTCAAAGTAGTCGATGATATTCAATTCTCAAACAAATAACATAGAATCAACACAAGAACTAATGATTCATGTCAACTAATTCATGAGTTTGCTATTCTTCAAACTAGAAATTGACTACCACTCAAGGGAGATCAATGATGACAATAACAAATAAATAAATCATTGGAAGGATCACACATAATATTCTAATACCATGTTAGTTGATAGAAAGATATCATGTTGACCTCTAGTGACTTGCCCTACCATCTTCATTCTCTTGTCCTTCACATTGAAGCAATCAGCTGAAGCCCTAAAACTCTATCCTAACTCAACAATCTCTACATTAGGGCTGGTAGTTATACCAATTATACTAGGCCAATTAGATTCATGATAGAACTAAGAACAAACAATAAGAAGAAATAGAAAAATTACACAAGTGAAATTATAAAATGAACAGATCATATTCCAACATAAATGTTGAACCTTTAACCTTCTCATTTGTGCCTATATGATTTCAAACTTGAGTGTTTTATATGATATTATTTAAATTATATTTTGGATTAAATTAGAGATAACTAGTGAAGAGTGTTTCCAACTTCAAAAATTGTTAAATTGATATTTTTTTAATAAATATGAACTATTTTTATGTCATATAAAGAAACACTTGAAGAGATACAAGATAGCTTCACATGTCTTCATTGCTACTGGCCTTATATAACTTTGTAAAGCATATATAAATTCAAAATCTATATAAAAATGTCTTTCATTTAAAAGGGGTCTTCTGTTTTTCTGGATTTCCAGAATTGACTGTTAGAGAAGAAGCTATGAGTCTTTTCAGCCTTCTTGCTACATTAATTCTGCAAAGCCTTTGAGTGTCATAGAAGAAGAAGAAGAAGAAAGTTAGGTGTCTAGTTGTCGCCTATCAAATGGATAATATTTTAGATTATTACTTGCATCAGATTTTTAATAATAAAAATATATTATAATTAAAAAATACTTTACTATGCCATTTCCAAACCCTTACCTATTATTTTTAAGGGGGGGATGTTTCCTACAATTATCAATTTGTAAATAACACAATGTAAGAGGTAGTTGTTAAAAATTGAGGAATACATAGGTAGAACCAAAATGTTGAATGTTTAGTATCTAGGCAGATTTTAGGATGAGTAAATACAGTGGAATCCGTATTTCTTGATTATAATTTCTAAGACATTTCTTAAAGCTATATAAAAAAAAATGGAGAGTAAGTCACTCTTTGGTGATAACACAAGGAAATGAAAATACACACAAAATATTCACTTCCTCTCATAAGCATCCAGCAACTAATGAAAAGGATGAAAATATATGTATAATTCTGAAAAAAATAAGTTCATCAACTATGAGGTAAAAGTCCTAATAATTATTTCAATAGATGTAACCAATTTTATTTTTCTGTTTAAGTATGATATATAATTGCTTAGCATTAGGAACATCATGAAAATAAAAATCCCATGTGTAATGTTTGTGAGCTTCACATTCATCATGGGTTACCAAGAAAAATTAAAGGCTCAAATAAATGTTTATTTTAGACTCTCATTTTTATTTTATATAATATATAATAGCTAAAGTAAAATAAATTTGGCAATTCAGATTTTATTACATAGGCTTGCAGCCATTTTTTTGGCCCAAATAAAACTTGGGTGAAGAGAAAATGAGGATTTTCTACTTGGTAAATCAGATTTTGTCACATTTTGATAATAATTTTACAAGGATGAAATATTAATCAAATTCATTAAAATGAAATTTTATTTTTAATATTGAACACTCAAATATATCATAGAAAAAGTGTCATTTTTTTATGAGCTTGACCTCAAATTTGTTATGTTCTCTAAAAAATTATAATAAAAGACGATTTTTGAATTCACATTGTCATAGCCATGTTACTTGAATCATTCACTACTAGTTGGCCGTCATTAGAACCCGCCCTAGAATGGGCAGAAATAAAATTATTCCTTATTTGGGGATTATCATATGATTTAAACTTCAGAATAATCCTCTGAAGTCAAAACGCGTATTTCACGTTCAGATGGGAGGAGAGATAGAGAGAGAGAGCGACGCAAAGTGGTACCGACTGACTTGCCAAGTATCACCGTCACGGGCCCCGCAGGGGATGGGTAAGAGACAGGAGGTGGCCTCCAGCTAGTCGAGAGTAGGGTCCAAAATCTTCCACAGAATCCAGCTGTACATCCGATGACGTAAGCGCCGGGCCCAGAAAGGCACAACATTGTCGCTTGTATGAGACGGGAACCCGGGCCTGGATTTCACGGCCCGGCCCGTGCCGGGCCCAATCACCTCTCTAACTTAGGGTCTCAACGGACCGGATAAACTCAAATCATGGCCCGACATTTAGGTCCTCAATCTAAATAAAGCCCACTATGAAAAGTAAGCCGGAGCTCTCCTCTCTCTCTCTCTCTCTCTCTCTCTCTCTCTCTCTCTCTCTATCTAATTTATTTCATGCGAGCTAGCCATGGTCTTGTCCGCAGCTCGTAAAGTTGCTTGAATTCCCCAGTCTCTCGTCATATTTAAGGAAATGCCATAAAAGATCTATTTTTGTCTATTTGGCCATTTTATGTGGGAATAGATATATAAATATTAATAACTAAATGGATTTATTCATAAAGTTTACATATGTCAGCATCCAACGGCTTCGTACCATGCACGCGATTTAAGCAGAGTCACTGGGTTCCACCAGTGCGGTATCCTGCGAAGCAGATTAACTATCCGAAATCGCGAGGAAAAAAACGGACGAGGAATGGAGACAATCGGGAGAGGAAGACGAGATAACGACCTCAAGCTGCTTGCTACTCCTCCGGCGGCCATGGAGGAGCGGCGGCGGCGCCGCCGGCACCGGCGGCGCCCCGCGGCGGAGCCCTCACCTGCCCTCGCCCTGCTGTGTGTCTCTACCTTCTCTCTCCTCCACCTCCTCCCCGCTCCCGGCGCCGCCTTCACCCCCTCCGACAACTACCTCCTCAACTGCGGCGCAACCGTCGCCGCCTCGGACGTCTCCGGCGATGGCCGCACCTTTGTCCCTGACGATGCCTCCTTCTCCGCCTCCTTCTCTCTCTCCACCAGCCGTGATATCTCCCTCTCCGATCCCTCTCCGCCGCTGTCGCTCCCCACGCTGTACCTCACGGCGAGGGCCTTCACCTCCCCCTCCTCCTACAGCTTCTCTATCAGCGGCGGCCCCGCCGCTGCGCTCTTCGTCCGCCTGCACTTCCGCCCCTTTTTCTCCCCGTCATACAACCTCTCCGCCGCCGTCTTCAACGTCTCCGCCTCTGGTTCTCCCCTCCTCGCTTGGTTCAGACCGCCGCCAGGGAGGGCCACCGTCGAGGAGTTCCTCTTCCGAATGGACCTCCGGAAGTTGGAGCTCGTCCTCTCACCCGCCGGCGGCGACTCTCCTCTCGCCTTCCTCAACGCGATCGAGGTCTTCTCGGCCGCTGCCGACGTCCTCCCCGGCGCCGCCCGCCTGGTCTCCGCCGCCGTCGGGGTCGACACCGACAAGACGGTCTCAAAGCAGGTGCTGCGCAGCCTCCACAGGGTCAACATCGGCGGCCTCAGAGTGACCCCCGGCAACGACACCCTCTGGCGGACGTGGGTCCCCGACGACGGCGGAAGCTACCTCGCAACGCCGGCGAACCAGACACGGGTCGTCTTCTACGCGGGGGAGGTGAACTACCAGGACGGGGGGCCAACCCAGGAGGTTGCCCCGAACGCCGTATACGCCACCGCGAGGGAGATGAGCAGCGGCACCGCCGGCAAGCTCCGCAATCTGTCGTGGGTCTGCAAGGCGGCGGAGGGTCGCCGGTATCTCCTCCGCCTCCATTTCTGCGACATCGCCAGCAGCGCCATGTACGATCTCTACTTCAATGTCTACGTCAACGGGCTCCTCGCCGTGAGGGACCTCGACCTTTCCAGCGCCGCCGCCGGGCCCATGCTGGCCTCCCCTTATTATGCGGACTTCTTGGTGGACGCCGGCGGCGGCGGGGAATTGCTGGTGACCGTTGGCTCCTCCGACCGCAGCTTGCCCTCCCTCGTCAACGCCATTCTCAACGGGATGGAGGTCATGGAGGTGATCGGACCAGCGACGTTCACGGAGACCAGGAAGAACCGCAGAGGGCTCCTCCTCCTCAGCCTGGTTCTTGGGTCCCTCCTCCTCGGGTGCTCTCTGGTGGCCGCCCTCTCGGCGGCGCTGGTTCTCCGGCGCCGAAAGCAGAGCAAGGGAAAGCAGCAATCCCCCGCCGTCGCCAGCGACGGCGACACCAACCCACCGGCGAATCTCAACCTGCGTCTGACGATTCCGTTCACGGAAGTCCTCCTCGCCACCGGCGACTTCGACGACTGCAACTTGATCGGCGCCGGCGGGTTCGGAAAGGTCTACAAGGGGACGCTCAGGGACGGAACCAGAGTCGCCGTGAAGAGGGCCGTGGCCGGCGCCGGCCAGGGCCGGCCGGAGTTCGTCACCGAGGTGCAGGTCCTGTCCAGGATCCGCCACCGCCACCTGGTTTCTCTCATTGGCTACTCCGCCGAGCAGTCGGAGATGATTCTTGTCTACGAGTTCCTGGAGGACGGCTCCCTGAGAGACCACCTCTACGGCCCCGGCCGGCCGCCGCTCCCATGGAAGCGCCGCCTGGAGGTCTGCGTCGGCGCCGCCCGGGGGCTGCACTACCTGCACACCGGCTCCGCTCAGGCGATCATCCACCGCGACGTCAAATCCTCCAACATCCTCCTCGCCGCCGGCGGCCTGGCGAAGGTTGCCGACTTCGGCCTCTGCAAGCAGGCCCACCCGCTCGCGGCCGCCGCCGCGCCGATGATCACCGGGGTGAAGGGAAGCTTCGGCTACCTCGACCCCGAGTACCTGCGCACGCAGCAGCTGACTTGCAAGTCCGACGTCTACTCCTTCGGGGTGGTGCTGCTCGAGGTCCTCTGCGGGCGTCCGGCCATCGCCGCCGGCCTGCCGTGGGAGGAGGTGAACCTGGCGGAGTGGGCGCTGCGGCGGCGCCGGGAAGGCCGCCTGAGGGAGATCGTCGACCCCGCCATCGAGGGCTCCGTCGACCTCCGCTCGCTGGCCAAGTTCGGCGACACGGCGGCGGCGTGCCTGGCCCCGCTCGGCGCCGACCGCCCCTCTATGGCCGGCGTGCTGTGGAACCTTGAGTACGTCCTCCGGCTACAGGAGACCTTCCCCGCCGCGCCTCAGGAACCCTCCGACGACAGCGCCGCCGCCTACGGCGATCTGCCGCTCCCGGGAGGTGGGGAGAGCAGCGGCGGGGCAGCGGCGGCGGAGGAGGGTGACTGTCAAGCCCTTGAGCACACTACCCTCCGTCAGCAAGATCATCTACAAAGCTGAGGAACTTCGACATCGTGAGGTTACTACATCTCACTGTGCTATGTAAACAATTAGTGCACCATATTTGTTATGTTTGTATGTAATAATACCATTAATAATAGGAAGAGATTTAATGATCGAGGTGGGTCATCATCATCATCTTCCTCTTGTTCTTACTGGCTTTCTGACTCTACATCATCACCCCACGCTACCATCATGTTGCACTGATCATCCAGCTATTAAAATTGACCAAACGCTTAGAATTGCATATTAGATGCCTAATCAAGGACCACAATAAATTATTATTCAAAGAGTTTTGAAAGTCAATCCTCTCCTAACCCCCTTAAAATTAAGGAGTTCAACAAGAATATCAAGAAAAGTCAGAAAGCTAGTACACGGCCATTTCGGTGGTTGACAAAGAATGGTGCGACTTAATTTTTTGTCCTCGTAGGTCATGACTTTTGGTTTTACAGTCACATGTGCGCCACAAACTTAGTCCAGGGATTTGATTCTAATAATCATGAGTAATGGATTTAGGTAAGAATCTGTCATCGTCATTAGTCATCAATGGAGATGTTGTTGGCATTTAGAGAGCCATTGGTCCTTGAAAGAGTGGAGAAAAATAATTGGTTAAAATTTAAATCATTATTTAATGAGAAATCGGATACACATTTATAGTAGTAGTAGTGAGGTAGATTAGATCTAATTAATTGGGCTTCACTCATGTCAAATCAGCTATGATATTTAATGGAACAAGGAGTAATAAAAATATAATAGAGGAAAAAATATAGACATAATTAAAATTCTTTTTTAGTATGTTAAAAATCTCTCATATCAAACATTCTCCATCATGTTGGTGAGTGAATGTCATCAACCCACTTCTTCAATATTAGTCTCTAAAATATTGGTCTATTTGATCTCTTGATGAAAATATCTACTAGTTGTTTATGAGTTGCAACTTATGGAGTGCAAATAATGTTGTTATATAGTTTCTTCTCAATGAAGTGTTGATCAATCTCAACATAGTTTGATCATATGATACCCAATTTTACACAATATTATAACTAGTTTGTTGTGCTAATGTAATCCAATCAATCTTGTCATTTAGTTATAATGTCTATTAAAATGCTTACAAGTTCTATTTGAAATTAAAGTTCTACACTTGATCTAACCTCCACTAGATATTTATTGTCCTACTATGTAATAATGTTGCCTATGTGAATAGTGCCATAGCCTAAAGTTAATTGTCAAATAATAATAGAACCTACAAAATCAACATCACTATAAATCTCAATAATTATATTACTATTTTTATTAAATAAAAGTCTTACACCATGTCTCTTTTAAATATTATAAAACTATACTAGTCATTAGAAGATGGGTTTCTTTCAGGTCATATCAATTAACTAAAAATTCTTACTAAATATGCAATATCTATACTACTTTGGGAGAGGTAAATTATTTTTCTCACAAGATATTGATGCATTTGTTTATCTACAAGACTACACTCTACTACACTTGGAATTTATAATTCAGACCTGGGTACTCATGAGTTTATAGCCTAACTTTCTCATATGTTTTAAGGGATCAATAACATACATTTGTTGAGAAGTAAATGTTTTATTTCAAGTGTGCCACTTCAATGCTGATCAAGTATTTCAACTTCCTCAACATCTTAATGTCAAAGTTCTTAAATAGTACTATGACATTCTTTTTGCTCTCATTATTTCTTAATACTATAATGTCATCTATATACAATACAAGGGCGGTAGTCCCTTTTGTGAACACTTCACAAATAAAATATCATCACCATCATTAGGTCTATATCTTATTTCTCGTATCATTTTTGTGAACGTCTTAAATCATGCTTTTGGTGAATGTTTAAAACCATAAAGTACATTTTTTAATTTATACACTACACCATGCTCTAAACTTGTATTTAATATTATATATAAATATATATATATATAGATATTTGCATCCAATTATATTCTTCTATTGTGATAGTTTGACTAGTTTCTACATTACATTTTTCTCCAACACCTTCATCTCTTCATTCATAATTTGTTTCCATTCTTAATTTGTTTCCATTCTTCATGAGACAATAAATGGATTAAATTGATATAGTATTGAGTGAAGTGAGAAATATTTTATAAAAAGGCACTAAATGTTTAGATAAAATTTGAGAAATAGGATACTTTAGATTCCTAATGACTTTCTATTTTCATTCCAAAGGACTACATATAATTCATTTGTTTGTCACTTATATCCTAGAGAGGTTACTCAAGTTGAGATTTCTATAAGGCCACCATTATCAGTAGTAAAATTTTCCCCCTCAAGAGAAATGTCATTAGTAAAAAAAAGGTACATGTTGATTGAAGCTTACAATAATTCAAATGAAATATTCCTTCTTAGTATTCTTATATCCAATTATGAAACATTTTAATACATGTATTAAACTTTCCCTTGACTTCAACCTAGTTAAAGACATAGGTCACACACTTGAAAATCCTAAGAACTAAATTAATCTTTAGTTAACTATGCGAGTAATAGAATGACAAAGTTCATCTTTACTTAACTATGTGAGTAATAGAATGACAAAACTTCAATAGACTATTCAATTATAAAATATATGTCAATAAGTGATTTATGGAGTGAATGGTTGTTAAGGCTTCCTATTCTCCAAAATATTATGACACATGATTTTGAAATAAAGCTATTCTTACTACATTTAATAAATGTCCATTTTTCCTTTATGTCACCCATTCTATTATGGTGTGTTGACACGATGGTTCATGAATAATCTCCACCTTTTAAAAAATATTACATTATTGTCTAATTAAAATCGTTTCAAGTATTATTTGATCAAAAGTTGTTGAGCCAAATTATTTGACCACCTTAATAGTTTCTAACTTAAGATTTAGTAAGTAAATATAAATTATCTGTGAATAATCCTCAATAAATTTCACAAATCATCTTACTCTTAAGATGTTAGAAAACAATTAAGGCCTCTAGATGTCATTATGAATGAGTGAAAATATGTTAACTCTATGTTCACTATTTGTTGAGAATGAGGTACATTTAAATTTCATCAATTCATAAATATCACATTTAAAATTCTCAACATTCACTTAAGAAAATAAACTTAGAACTATAGTTTTCATCAAGTTGAAGTAAGGATGACTAAGATGACAATAGTACTACTAAAAAAAATTTAACATTATTGTAATAGTAGTTTCAAATCTAAATAGAGGTAGTGATTCTGCAATGTAGACTTTACTTAGCAACCCAAGATAATAAACTTATCTACACTCATCAACAAGTCCAATTGTTTTTGTTATTACTTTGTCATATACATCACAAAGATCACTTTCAACAATCACCATAAATCTTATTTCTCCTCAAAGATCACTTTGTTGAGAGAGTTTACAACCATGTAAGATATTTTTAACTATTTCAAGAAAATTAATTTCTACATTTTCTATACCAATTAGTTGTGATAAATTTTCTACTACTTGGACAAGGATTATAAGTTGAGAAATAATTTGAGGTATTAATTATAATCAGTGGCTCTTGTATATGAAGTTCATGATTTTGAAAAGAATGGCACATCACCTCTAGTACTAGAGATTGAGGCCATATATGATTTTAGTTCTCGATATCAACCTTCAAACCTTTTATCATTCCTTGAGTATTCACCTCTAGTATAGTAGTTACCTTAGAAATCACATGCTTGTGAGGTGAGTTTAATCTATTAAAGATTGTTCATAGAATTTACAATATCAATATTGTGTGTGGTTTACTTGTTTATAGCTACCTTTTAAAGGTGCACTATAGAGTTTCTATAATCACTCTATAAATGTCATCAGTATTGACACACATGATATATTTTGACATATATAATAAAAATTTATTTAAAAATTATTCTTAAATGAGTTCAAATATAATTCATCTATATACATCACAATTATTTTCATTATGAGATATGTTTAATTAAAAAATATTCAAACTATAATATAGATTGATGATGTACTATATGATCTTACAGACAAATACAAAAAGTCGAGTTAAAATATTATTTTATATTACAATAATGTTTTGTTATATTCTCTAAATAGAAGTAAACAACATAATAAGTGTCAGCACATGTGATGAAGTTTCACATATATTTTAAAAAATCAAGGTCATCAATGATATTCAAACAAGATACTTGAACAATGTGAAAAGTTAAATATTAATATAGAAAATATTTAAAATATCAAAGACATATAATGGTAGATATGTGATTCAAACTTATGAAGTGAGCTTAGCAAAAGTGAAAAAATTGCATTCTAAATATTGAAAACTCAATATGAGCAGAATTTGAAACCAAGAACACTATAATGACTTATAGAAAGCTGGTCAAGGTATTAAAATTAAAAATATATGATAAGTCATTAAAGCAAGACTTGAACTCATGACTCATATAGCAACTGAGTTCAATTTTTCACATGAAGTAAAGAATGAGGAGAAAGAGTCGTTGCCACATAACCTATACAATGACACGTCATAGTATTATGTGAAGAAAATGACAAAGTAGAAATAATCAAGCTTCAACCTAGTATAAAATGAAAGATCAACCATCAAAGAAGTATGAGTCTTTAGATAGAAACTTCAAGCTTGTGAAATCAATCATAGGTTCCCAGAAGTTTATTGTCTAAAAGGTTAGCTTGTGAATGTATTAGAGTTTATCAAAACTATTTGGGTGTGATGAATGTTCCTATTAACCACAATTGAATAAAGAAGTGTAAAGTCATCTCCATATATTTTACATAAGTCAAGTTAACACATGACTATACATGCCATTACAAATTTGACAAAAGTTATTGGAGAACACATCAATGCATTATATTTTACAGCTATTGCACACATGAAGAGGACTAGATTGCCTTCATGGTGACGTATCTTTTCTTTACAATGATGCACTTTTTTTATCACGAGAAAATAAATGATAGATTGGAAGTAGCTAACATGTTTTTTAGGGAGGCGGTCACTTGCATAGAGTCCCACAATTCATTACCTCTAATTGAGATGTGAGGTTTTTGTTGTAGCTTACTCTTTGCAAATGATATGATTCATGCTTAAACATTAGAATTAAAAAATTCACTCCCAAATTCAGGTAGTATATAGGACACTTGAAATTTTGATTCAGTCCATTTGACAAGATGAGCTAAGATATATGGACTTGGGCTTCACTTAAGTAGAATTTACTTTTACCTCAAGGTTTGAGAATATAAAAAATCATATCAAAATATTTCATTCAATTTTAAAGAAGTATCTCTCATTTGACATTTAATGTGGTGGTTCTTAAGAATTGTAATATCAAGCTAGATGACAACTTGAAGGTAAAAAAAAATTCAAGGGACATTGATGTAAAACATCACTTTAGGAACTGATAACATCTCAAAATTTTTGAGTTAAATGACTCGAAAATAAAAAAACATTAACTAAAAACATTTAAAGGTCCAAAATTGCATAGAAAACATATTAAATTTGTAGGTCTAGTATCTCCTTGAGGAGATACTTGAGGAGAGTGGGGGCACATTAGTTAATAAGGATGGGTAACTTTTTGTCTGAAATGGTAGACATGACATTCTTATCATCACATTCTTCAAAATACTTGAAATTATCCTTAGAATTAGAAACTATTCCAAATGAATTTAAGTTGGATGGAAAAATTTTAATGAAGTGAGTTTATTGAAGTGGTGCTATTAGATAGAAGAAAACTCAACCACTTGTTGAAACCAGTGTAAAAATCAATAGATCAGTGATTTAGGTCATGAAGTGAGGAGAATGTAATTACTAAAATGTGGCTTTAGAACATTATGACTCCAAAAGTTAATGCCACTTGCTTCTTATAATAGCTAAATATATTATGGAAAAAATTAGCAAAAAGTTATCAAAAAAAAAAAATGATAGAGCCTTTATCAGGTCACTACAAGGATAGAGACTCTAATAAAGAGGTAAATCAGTAAGGAGTATGTAAATGAATTAGAATCCTTGTGACAAGAAATTGATAGATATAAACTGATGACAACAAAGTATCTTGAGATAAACTTTTCTTTCTAAAATATATAGAGACAAACATAATTTCAATTTTTTTTATTAGTCTTGATATTTATTATGATCAAGTTTGAGCCCAAATTCTGAGAATATAATGCCCACAAAGTGAGTTAATAAAAGAGGCGAGCGACAATCTGGGATGGGGAAGATCAGTAAGATGAGATCAAAACAGTCAAAAGAGATGATCCAGAAGGTCAAAGATCCAAGTTCTAATCAGACGTATTTTGCATTTTCGCACCCAAGTTACCACTCCAACATCCACTTTGCAGTGAAACATTTATCGCAAAACTGAATTGAAGAGCAGAAGAAGAGCTCACATAAATTTTGAAAAAGAGAAAAGAGGGCATGTTTGACCACAGGACAAGCTTCTTCTGGAGCAAGAGCTGCTGAGCTAAAGTAAGAGAAGAATTCAACTGAATGTTCATAGGGGGAGTAGATCAACCGCTTCTTGTTCTGTCACCTGCAGACATTGCCAGAGATAAATTCCATCCGTTGTAAGTTATAATTCCTTCTTCTGTTGATCATCAACCTTTCTTTGCCTCCTCTTCCATGCAGGCATTCGACCAGGGAATGCCCATCTCAACAAACTCTCCCAAGCATAGCACCCTAGAAACATGAGAGTTGCCCACAGAAGCAGCTTGTCCCGCATCCCCTCTGGCAGTGGCACCAGCTTCAGCCAGTCATTCAGATCCCTGAAAATGTCTGAGGTGATCACCGTGAAGAAGACCACAGCAGAAAACAAGGCAATCTTGAAGGGCTTGTTCTCTGATATGCTCTGGTTGAAGGGGTGGCCCATGTAGTTCACAGCAAAGGTGGCCACCTGGATCATCATGTTCACCATGTAGGACACAGTGTTTACCAGGTTCGGGTGGAACTCAGAGTCTGGTTCGATGCACTCCTCTGGCATGAATTTTCCAGCTTCATTGACGGCTGAAATCAGAAACAGCAAGTGCATTGCAAACTGGCCAAGGAGGGAGAGGAAGACATAGGAGCAGAAGATATGTGGGTGGGGCCGGGAAGCCGAAAGGGTCTCAAGTGGCCGTGCATGGGAAATGAAGAGGAAGAAGGCCGCCGTGAATACTCCACTTATGGTCGCCTGGATGTCCCCAAGCTTGACGCCATCCAAGTACATGACACTCAGAACATAGGCTGTTGCAAGGCAGTTGAGGCCAAGGATCTTGAACATCTGGAGAGTGGTGACAAGGGTGCTCCTGCCCTGGCGGATGATGTCGACTGTCGGCATTACAGACGCATGCTTTGCTGTGAATGGAGAGGCCATGGAGGCATCACCGAGCTTGACAATGGGCGGCGCCCGGCCATCACCGTCTTCATTCAACTCATCTAACATCTTTTGAAGCTTTTGACGCTGTTTCTCAGCTGGAGTAAGATGGCGGGAACTTGCTGGAGCTGAGTTGCTGGGCAACCCATTTGAACTTGAAGCTTCAGCTGCTGGAGTCTTTGGCTTCTTTGTTTTTCCGGATTTTTTATCAGTCTTGGACACTGAGGACGACTCGCCTGATTTAGCAGGGGGTACAGCATTCAGGAGAGCAACACCGACATGGGCCTGAGGAAACAAGTACATATCATTCCAAACCCGTCTGTCAACTTGAACAACGCAAGGAAAACTACCGGAGAGTGATTGTAGCAACAAGGGGGTAAGAAATAATACCTGCTTTAGAGCGCCAACATCATTTGTTCCATCTCCACACATCAATGTCATCCTTCCCACTGCTTTCAAAGTAGTCAAGATGAGCTCCTTTTGCTCGGGAGCAACCCGGGCAAATACCTGAAGCCATAGTTATTGGGATCTTCAACGAGATGAACCAAATACAAAGAGCAGCATCCTGAAATAACTATCGATACCACTATAGAATTACCTTGACATAAGGAATAACCTGAAGAACAGCATTAGTCATCTGCAACATTTCAAAGCAATCACCACCAATGCAAAGATCATGCGAATCTGAAAGGACGTCCACTTCTTTGTCACTGCATACACACAAACTCAGGTGTTAAATGATCAAAGTAATATAGGTGTTATCCACTAAAAGTGCTTCGATGCAGCACAAAAAAGGCAACAACAGTGAAGTTTATTTCATGAAATGGTGAGATACCCTATATATGGAAATGTCATTCTAAAATTGATGGATGTACCTGTAAGGAATCTTTTCAGTTTCATCGGGTGAATTCCACTCAAAAGACCCTCTAGTTTTTGTTGGAACAAGGATCAATGCAGGCTTTGAAATGATATGAACTTGACTAGCAACATAGCATGCTGTCAGGGCTTGATCACCAGTAATCATCACCTGCAGTCAAGAACCATCTTAAACGTATACTTTGCCGTCGAATATAACTAAAAAAGATACATACAATAATTTCACCAGGTAAAAATGATAATAAATAGAATTCGACGATTTATGAAACAGTCTTTCCTAGGAGGACCAACGAATTCAACAAAAGGGCAACAGTGTCATCACAGAAAAGTTAGAAAAATAAACAAAGACATAATATGACAATAGAGACCATCCCAAGAATTAGTTGAGTGGAACTTCCATTGAATGCCTAAAAATGTGATATCGCGTCTTATACTATTGACCCCCGTCTTCAGAATGTAGTTCTTGTATATTTTTGACTTGTTCATTTTCTAACTGTCGTACATCTATATTTTATGGACTAAATGTTTTGGCATCTGTCATATGATTACAAAACTATGTCGCATGAAGCCAGAGCTAGAAACCCACTGGAAATAAGATGATTCAGGTCACATTGAATACATAGTGGCAGAATCACCAATTCAACTTATTCTACATACCACCGCCCCAAAGAGCCACCACATCAAATAATATTTTTAAAAAGAAATCTTCAGTCGAACATCTTAGGCTTCTAGTGCTGATAGTTAAGTTCTAGTCATTAAAAAGGTGATAAGGCTAGAGATAAGGGAAGGATAAATACGAAGCCAAAGGGCCATGTTTTCAACTTTCTTCAACAAATTGTCCCGATTCAATCGGGTTTTTCAAAATAATGCATTGGTTGGACTTGTCCGTATATGTAAACATGCTTGAACTTTTTGAGTTTCCATACAAGGAGCCATTAAATGATAAATTTCCCGACTACTGCATTCCATGGTTACATAGCATGGCGCGGAAAACTTTAAGCATTTGCTAAATAAGCAGACACCAAAAACAAAGCTTGAGAAAACTTGAGAAAAGTTACCCACCAAATCATGTGACGATCCTTTCAATTCAGCCAAAACAGACCCGGAATCTGGTCTGATAGGGCAGTTAAAGACCTGAAAAACACAGCAGAGTCATAGCTCAAAGAATCAGCTTGATAGAAAATTCAATTCTACCAATGGAACAGCTCAGGCACCGAAGTAAAGACAAGGCAAGCATTTATTTGGGGGAACTGGTGAGGATATGGAAAGCAAGCAAGATATAGGCCATCAAAAGCTTGATTTGGCGAGTTGAAGTCCACTTACTGCAAATCCAGCAAAAGACAGACCACTTTCCACAGAATCTCTCTCCAAACTTCTAGCTTCACTTACCTGTTTAGATGAAATTACACAGGTATTATCTAACATACAATACTAGATAACGAAAAATGAATAAACCTGTGGATGATAAATTAATGTCAGATTCGCCATGCGTTATCCAAGCATAGCCAGACAAGGTAAATTGATGGCAAATAACGAGCATATTCATACACTCAAAAGTAATACATTCCTAAGTACGCCATATCTGGCAATTATGTCGGGAATGAGCCTGATCTATATTAAAATGAGCATCAGGATCCAAAATTTGTGATGAGGTTTCCTTGCAACAATTATGTGATGTCATGGCTTGTATGCTATAAAGGATCGTTAAGATATACAGCATTGAACGCAATCAGGGTTGCAAAATGGAGGTAGATAAGTCTGCTTTGAATTGGAATAGGAGGAAGAAAAATCAAACAGTGAGGTGAATGATCCTCCTTGTAACCATGTTCGCCTGTTTGAGGCACGAGAATTATAGGAAGGTTAATCAAAAGGAAAAACCAACAAAGTGGGCCAGTGAGCTTTCTCCCCCAGCATGGCCTGTGAGAAACAAAGTTATAGCCACAGTCTGTAATAATTCCACCACATTCATCAGGATATGTGCCTAGATTTTCGTATCCAGGCTTCACACAAGGTGAACTATGGGTTATTTTTGTTGTGCAGGTCCTATTAACTCAATTTTTTATGGGGCGTCTGTACTGAATCTACCAATATTGCTCTTGTAAATTTCGACTTTTGTAATCATGGATTATAAAGAGTTAACCACTAAGAGTTCATCAAACCTCATGCCACAAATACTTGCAATGAATGTTTTGAGCATACTTGAGAAAGTGAATTCAGGAAAATGTGCTTTCTGTGAAGCCACTTCTGTAGGACCATTTCAGCAAACAAAATATGCCAAAAAGAATAATAAATAGCAAGCTTTCAAGGCAATCAATGCATGGAAGCACTCTTACAGCCATTTCTGGCAGAGCCTTGTAAGCAAGAGCCAGCACTCGAGACCCCTGTCGTGTATATTTCTTGTATGTTTCCACATAGAAAGGTGGCAAATCAGTAAGCCTCTCTTGAATAGTTTCAGGCGCTCCCTGCCCATTAAGATAGAAGAAAATAAGTTATCACAAACGAAATAGAGACTCGTGCACAACGATTATGACATGATAAGCAGGTTATTCTTTATAAAGTTGACCACAAAAAGAATTTCTTTGATCTCATGTAACTCCTGTATGAAAGGTTCACATAAGCTTGAAAGGAGACGAATGAACAATCTGAACAAATGCTAAATCAATATTGAGACTGATAAGAGAATTGAAGCGCCACTGTTAAAGAAGAAAAACGTCCACCAAAAAGAAAGCATGGTATCCATGAAGACTCCCACGATCAACTTGTTGAACAGCAGAGGTACATAAACAATCCCTTTTCTTCGAGACTGACGCAGAAAATACTAAGTATACACAAAAAAAAGAAAAGAGGTATAATAAATGATATAAAGAACTTCCAGAAAGAAAAATCTATAAAACATAGGGGACAAAAGAATATATATGAAAATGAAACGAAAGTGAGGACAAGTTTCGGTAAGTACTATCAAAACTTTTATGCAATCACCATACCTTGACAAAGGCAAAGAATCCTTCCTGAATACGCACAATAACAGCCATTCTCTTTAAGTGTGACGCAAAGTGGTGCCTCTGGACGATCTGCACAGAATGACTACCTGGCCTGCTGTATTAAAGATGGAAATTAAATCACAGAGAACAAGCAGATGACCTTCAATCGCGAAGTCATAAGAAAACCAAATGCACTGAAACCCTGGCAAAGCTTGAGGATAAACACAAAAAACAACTCAAAGATTTCTTCTAATACAATTTGGAAGATACAAGTGAAGCAGCTAAATTGGAAAAACCTGGTACTTAGTTACTAGAGGCAGTCTAATTATAGTAAAATGACTACAGGAATGATTTTGAAGCTATTTTATCCGTAAAATACTATCATTGATAAGAGTAGACCTTACAGCACATGAAAGACAGGAAAGATTCAAGCAGCTACTTTATTCCTAAGAATTGATACAGCTAAGGCCGTAGTCAGCTTATAAAAGACTGGGCCAAAAGAAACCTAACCATTATGAAGACTGCAACAAAGACATTGTTATCCCGGGGTCAAAAGATTAAGCAATGAAACACAGGTGGCATTTTAACGAGAAGATCAGGTCGTAAATAATGAGAAGATCATGCCATAAATATATTTTAATTATAATGATTAACAATGGCTACGCATATCAACATAAGTTTACAGGAGAAATGCCGTAAACCTACTTTTTGGGCATGGCCTTCTCATCAGATGTGTAAACCCAGTCTATCCCTTTAAGTGCAGCCTTTTCAAGAGGATCACCAACCTGAAACCAAGAAAGAGAACAGATAATAGGAAAAAACCGTATCATTATAATTACGGGAAGAATTCTTGAACTTATTCATATGGAAAAGAGAAATATGCACGCCAGTGTTTTTCGTAATTATAATAGCATACCAGTTTATTGTCCACAAAGACCAAAGCATGGCAAGAAGCAAGAACTTCTATAGTGCGTGAAGGGACACTGCTCATATCTGTCTCTAAACTTTCACTATCTTTGAAACCAGAAACTCCTCTAAACTCCTGAAACACAGCACAAAATAAAAATTCAGAATTTGAAGGCAGAACTCATTTCAAATTCTATTGAATGCCATACCATATCATCAGATGTGAGAGTTCCTGTTTTGTCAAAGCAGCAAATGTCAACCTGGATAAATGCAATGACTCAACAGTTCAGACAGAACAGCACAACAATGCAGCATGAAACTAAGATAAGCCCATCATTTTTCTCTAAACCATCAACCAACCTTCCCAGCGAACGGTATTCGAAAAGGTTCTGTGCAGAATATTCCACGACGAGCTAGTGCAATTAAAGATGTATTAACAGCAATTGACAGCTCCATTGGTAATTCAGGGGGGATTACAGAAGTGATGATCAACGAACAGCTTAAGAAAAGTTTGTATCTACTCCTTGTTGGATCTTCCAGTCCCTGCAGACATCCAATTTAGTGGTTATCCAAACTTCATCCTCTCAATCTGATGACCACTGCTGATGACTATCTAATTTAGTACCTTTTTAAGCACATAACCAGCAGCAATTATGGCAAACACGACCAAGAAAAGAATAAATAGCCCACTTTCCCAACTATTTGCAGTAACCTGAAATGGTAATTGAGACTTAGCGGAAATCCTATCAACAAAGCAAGCAGGACTATAGCCTTTCAGTGGACACACACTCTTTCTGTAGAAAACAGGATTGTACGCATCAGTTTTCCTTGGCTTGTTTCGAATCCAGTGCGTAACACAACAGCCAGGCATCCTCCGTCAGGTGTCTTAATATGTCCCAACTGAAGCCAAAAGGAAAAAGAAAAGAAGTGAGACTTAATCTGCTGCAGAAAATAAAAGTGAAACAAGCGAACTACCTTATCTGGAGTGTGCTGTAATATTTTGGTCCCTCCAAATAGAACATGAGTTTTATCTCGTCTCGCAGATAATTTCTCCTCGACTCCCCGGCCCTTAATTGAAACCTAGTGAGGAGTCATCTGAGCTTTAGAGGAAATAATTCGCAAGTTGCTATTAATAACAATGTATCAGAATGATAAGAGTTTATTGTTAGTATAATTACACACTCCGAATAAAAGGAACGCTTCCTAAAAAAAAGCATTACAATAATGCGGTCATCCTAATGACAAACTTACATGAAAAATTCAACGACGCAAATTATAATGATAAATCCAATGAAACCAGCGAAAGTTCCAAATATTATTCAGCACAAAACAACCTTGTCCACAACAAAAATATTTCTGCCACAGTCTCCAACAAAAGAGATTGGAGAATAAGAAGCTAATGTTGAGTCCATGGTCAAGCAAATACGTAACAATCACGTTAAGCAAAAGAATCGTTCCCAGATAAGTGGCAAGCAATGAAATATATGATTGATATCTTCCCATCAGCTACTGCGGTATAGAACTAGTACTCAAACGGTGGCAGAATAATAGGCAAACAAATTCTTGGTTGAATTCTTCAAAAAGATCGGGCATTTTTTGCTTTACTTCCCATGTGCATAAGATAATGAATGTTTTTAACTTACACCATGACCCAAGAAGAAGGTTTATTCATTTCACAATCAACCGAGGAAGAGGTAAGGATATAGAAGGGTGTTAACAGAATACTTGCCAAAGAAACGAGAATTTATGATGCAGATGTCGTCATATACCATCTTGAAGTAGGATAAAATATAGTCAGAGTTCACACACATACATATATATACTTCTCCGTTTTTCTTAAATTTTCTTTCGGAAAAAGAAATCATAGAAAAAAGGATTTCCTTCAACATGCATCACACTCCGAGTAAATGAACGTGATGCATGATACATAACTACTATGTACGTTTTGTTAACAGCAAGGATCGAGCAGGAAAAAAGCCAAACAAGACCTCATTGTGAACCTAGACCATCAGCCAGAAGTTTCATCCAACGACGAGAAGAAGTTTGAACGAAATAAATTGCAACCATTCTTAGTTAAATTAGCCAATAACTAGAAAAGCATTTTTTGGCAAATTCTAGGAAAGCATGACTTTGATTAGAACTTTCAAAAAAAGAAATTGCTAAAATACTTAGCACAAAAGTGTATATAACAAGCAATACAAGACCACCTTCCACTGAGGAGTAGACTCGCCCGTGAGAATGGCTTCATTTACAATAGCATTTCCAGCTAAGATTAACATGTCTGCAGGAACTGTCTTCTCATCCCCATTCTGGCCAGAGTAGCGGCCGATTGAAACCACATCTCCAGGAAGAAGATCAGTTCCAGAAACTTTCACCCACCTACAGGCAAGAAATACAATATGATTACCTACTGAACCCTTGGACAAAGGCCACAAGATTGTGATCAGTGTCTAGACGTACTTCCCACAGCGATGGACCATCAGTGTCTGAGAATCCACACTTACACGCCTCAGCTCTGTAAGAGTCTTTAATCTACTCTTTGCCATTGTTGATTCAAACAGGAATAACATGAAAAGCGTGAACAGACTGTAGTACCAGTATTCATCCATACACCAAAGCCCCACACAGAAAACCTGAACATGCAGATCAGTGTCAAACACTACAGAACTTTGAAGACGGAAGATAATGGCAGCACAGATACTAGTAATGTGATTAACCTGGAAGACAAAGAATGGCTCCATACACTGCTCTTTCATCAATTTCTGAAATGTTGGTTTTGGGTATTCGAACCTATGTAGAATGGAAGAAGAAAAGAATTGAGTTGACACTTCCATGTATTGATCCAGATCCTACAACACCTCTCAAAAAGAAAGTGCCAAAAATCCTAGCTCACCCTTGCACGTAAGCAGAGATAAGATGAAAACTCTATGACATAGGATGATGTCCAATTCATGAATTGATAAAACAAGTTTATCATGTTGGAGGTAACCACATATTCGTCAATATGACATCTAAGTTGCCGAATCCATAAATGAAAAAAATTGATAACTCAAACGCAGGAATAAAAAGTTTATGGATACACGGAAATTACATTATAAGCATCTCAAAGTACGTACTTCTTAAATCATTGCTAGTGAAAAATAACTACAACCATGGTTGATCAAATCCTTCGTCAACAACATGAAATGGCATTGCACGCATATTGAAATACATCTTATTCCAGAACCTTCACTCTTGATAAAAAGATAATAGTCACAATAATTACAGTACAACAATATTTTGCGAATGCCCCAAGAATATTGAAATACATCGATTCATGGGAAAACATAATACTCACAATGAAATAGCACTCAAAGCATCTGAGGCACTCAAATATGAACGGATTAGGGGCATAACAGTTTGATTAGCCAAGTATGCATGGTCTACTTTTCCTAAGTGTAATGAATCATGTGTTTTTATTACTGTGGAATGGAACATTAGCATTAACTATTAACTTAGATCAAAAGAAAGAACTGCAATGCACGGCATGATTTATAACTTCTAATTTAACCTGTGATTCTTTTAATGCCTCTAGAAATAAAACATTAAAGGTATACATGTGCAGAGCACTTCCATACAAGAGAGACCACTACTAGCGCCATATAATTTATTACTATAAAGATGAACGGATTCATAGTCTGATTGACGAGAATGAGAACACTTACGCATTTCTTCCCCATTTCTCAGCTGCAGCAGTAACTTTGGCTTCAGATCCATGTCCAGTGTTCCTCAGATAATACCCAAATGTCTCTTTCGTAGGGTAAGGGAGTTTACAAAAAACTCCTTCCTTTGAAAAAATGAAGTGCTGCTTTCTGAAGTCAAAATAAATTTCTTCTCCATCCCCTGCCGAAGAACCTGCCAACTAGACAAAAAAGGACCCGAAAAAGAAAAGCTCATCTACTAAATACAAGAGAGATACAAGCTACACAACAGAACGGGGAACAAGGTTGCTATTCTGTGTATAAGAACTTTGCATCAGGTCTGGGAAAAGCAAACTAAACAGTTTTTAGAATACAATTTCTAATTCATAAGGAACGTATATTTATCTATCTCGCGAAAATGAAGAAAAATCAGAGGATATAATAAAGTTGCATCTTATTATTTCAGTCGCTATTAATACACTCAATTTAGCCGTTAAAATGAGATTTCAGCGCTTTGAAAATACCCATACTCAACTATCCAATAACCTGTGACGAACTTTAATGATTTCATTCTTACATGTACCAGTAAATATGTGCATATCCTTCCTCTGCATGGAGTATTTTTTTTAATAATTTCCATGTCTGGCCTGTATGTCCGCCAGTACTTATCTATGTCAGCAAAGTACGTACAACCTTATGATAGTAGTTCTAGTCATTGATAAAGTTACACTCTAGAATGCTCTTTTCAGCACACAAATTGTGATTGAAAGTTCAGGAAGTGAATGGAAACCATATTACAAGATGTCCATCACAATACAGGTGTACAACACTAGATTATTACACAAAGTACAACTCCAGGTCGATGTATTACTTATGTATTTACAGATTTAAATTCGGAATGAATAGTATCAGCGAATCCAACTCTTTATTAACTATTTAATAAATAAAATCTAATGATATTCATCATCCACACTCAAGGCTTATTAGAGTCACCCCATCAAAAATATTTATTTAGACACTTTAGCATCTCGTACTATGGCTTCTGCATCCTGCCTTGGGACTCATGGTTATACATCACTCAGTTGCATTATAAATGAATTGCATAGCACAAATTCTGAACCTCAAATTCCTTTTAAGATGAGTACATAATTTAGCAAAGTTTTTTGAGATTCATAGTCAAATAGTTTGTTCACAAAAGGTAAAGGTGCCATCTTTAACATAAATAAGGCCTCAAGCACCTTGCAGATATCCGAACCACAAAGTGAGATCAAATGTGATTCACTGACACTTGGATGTTACAAAGAACGATAAACTTTTGGAGCAAAATGTTTAATGTGTATGTTGAAATTCCAAGCATAATTTTTTTTCTACCAGTCAAGATTCATGTAAGTTTGACTTCGGTCTCCATATGAAGCATAACTGAAACTTTCTAGCGTATATATTTGACTTACAAAATCACCACTTGGATCTAGATTGTGTCACTGGTCATTTATGTAAATCGTATAAAATCTGAAGAAAACTTGTCGCATAATAGGGAAAAATAGCACTTACAGGCTTACGAAAGAGGAGTGGAACTATTTCCTTAGAACCAGAAAATTTAGCAGGGGTTACTTTGCACGCATCTGCAAGGTGGACAGCTTCAACCTAGCATTGAAACAGTAATCAAAGTAAAATTTGTGCCTTAGTCAGCCTACGAAAAAAACAACATACGAAAATTCAGTTTCATGGATCCCATGGTAATGACTCCAAATAAAATCCTAACTAACCAGACGGCTTTGACTTTTATGATTTTCACTATTCTAAAAGCCTGAATAAATTACTCATGAGGCCCGAATCTCATTAAACCCTTATGAATAGCAGGTGAAAATGTAACTTTTACAGCAAAGAAAAGTGCAATGAGCAACACAGTGTGGTATTTACAGAGGAGATATCTTATAATATACCCGACACCAACTGTCAATTAGCCATACTTAATTTGATGAACAATAATCCTGAAACAAGGGTCATGATTGTACCTTATTGAACTGGACAAAACACCTGAAATCCACTGACCAAGCAGTAAAAAGCAGCACCAGAATATGAGAAACCAGAAGTCCACCGAGAACAATAATAGCGTCAGTAATATCTATACTTGGAACCACTGTGAATAGCCAAGCAACATAGAGGATGGCAAATGGCCACGCATCCAGGCGCAAGGTCCAGTGTCTCCTCTTCAGCAAGTCAATCCCTTCTACTACTTTCCCACCAACATGAAACTTCGGCATCTTGCCCCTCCAATGCCTTCAACTATTATGACCTTGAAGCAACTAACAGTCTCACCTATCAACCACGTACACTAAACATGAAAAACATCATTTCATCATTCCATTGCCCATGAAAAAATTGGTGGATGAAAAAAGAAAATTAAACAAAACGTCTACGTCATGAAATTGAAAAGCATTAAAAAAACATAGAAACATCATAACTAAGAAGTGGATGCATTTCTGAGTACAAGATCCAAATGGGAAAAAAATGTTCACATAATGGGCATATATGATACAAAGAGAAATTATCACATATATCCCGATTTTAACATACTCTCATTTTATGTTCTCTATTATTAGAAATATATGATAGAATTCAGGACTTGACTTCTCACCTTTGCAACTACAACATGGTTCCCGATAAGATGACATAATAAATATGGATAAGACTGGAGGTCCTAAAAGCAGGAGAGAGCAATAAAAGTATCTGATATTCAAAGCTAGCAGGAAATTTTCTACAGAATCAATTAAAATTTAGAAAGTCTAAAAAACAACCTCAGATAACTACCAAGGAAAGAAAATCCTGCATTGGTATTCAGAGAGGAAGAACCGAACGGAATTTACTGACTATCGATAAGACAATGTGCTGAAGTGTCACAAGAGACAGAGTGAGAAAGTAGTAGGACTCGATAGTCAAAACTGACCAGAGATTGGCAATAAGTCCCTCGAAATGGCAAAAGAAACAGCCCAAATATCCACGCACCTTCCATTTAATGGATTAAGAAAGGTATGCCTTAGTACACAAAAGACATTGTCCTTATGCCTTACAACTCGAAACAAAACCTTCAACATCAACAAATATTATGGAGGCGTATGCTTACTGATCTGTGCACAATGGAAATGCAGCATTATCGAAGGACAGGACATACAGCTAAGGAATATTTCTGTAAGTCGCCATAGAATACTATTTGTATACAGGTAGGGAACATTTTTGTAAGTGGCCATGGACTTCTTTTTGTAAGTGTTGTACCATGATAAAAATATTAAACTCTCAGCCCCTCCCTATCTCCTCTAGAGCTTCTAGAAGGTGATACGTGATCCTTGTCACAATCTGGCGTTTGGAGAATCATAAGAAAAAGTGGTTCACATCCTCCATTTCTTTACATTGGCCGCATGAGGTGGCTATCCTATTCAAAAGAAGATCTAGTTTGTCACAATCAAGAGATCACGTTAAGTTCTCCACAGCAAGACATTCACTTTCAAAGGAGATGAAATTCTTAAATCGATGATTGTGAAGCAGGGTGATAAAACCGTGAGCATGACTCCTGTTTCCCATGTTAACTTCTACAAGTCTAAATCTGAAATCTGCAATGAACGTTCAGCAAGTAGATGACAGAGATCTTCGGTCTTCCAGACTATTTGTATTCTAAGTTCTCTCTGATTCTTGAACACCAGAATCCTCCCAGCACAGCGCAATAAAAAAACCTAGCCATTTTTCTCTAAGGATGTTATGTTCTCCAGTATTTAGGAGGACACTACATGCAGAAATAGACTGCTATGGGCCATCAAGGGTTAAAGAGGAAATGCTTGCCACAACTCACATTATAAATGGATAAGCATGTAAATTAGTATATCATACCTAAAAGAATTTAACAAAAAAATTCGAAGACGCAGCACCCAATCTATGATGAGAATGATCAGCCAAATGCAAATATGTTGAGCTCCCAAGGAAACACATTATTTAAGTGTATTTTTCCAACAATATACGATCGGATTCCCATTTAGGACAATTTCCGTTGTCTCTCTGGCAATGGAAATGCCACAATGCTCGACCTTGTGAGGGTCTCCAAATCTACTCAAGTAACCAAAACTTGTTTAAAAACCTAATGTATCACAGCATATTAGTTGTCATAAAATAAAGCTCCACCCTACTCGCTTTTAAGAGAGAAAGGATGAAAGAGATTAGCCTCATTCCTGTTATTTCATAAAATACATTTGAAACAATTATTTACAAAGTTGAATTATTACATTTGAAGGAAAGTATTTCCATCGAGTCCTGCGAAGCTAAGTGCCTAGCAATCATCAAATTCACATGAGCGAGAGAACTGAAAATGTCATCCTATTTGTTGGATCATCAGAGTCAACATTTCTGCGAGTCATTTTGAAATTTACCCGAAGGATAACGAGCCTCATCAACTCTCTATTTCAAAAATTTGAACCAAATTCGTAAATTGAATAACGGACTCCAAATTGTGCAAGTTAGAAACCATTTTGACTCGAGTTCAGAATGCTCCCAAGGCAAGTCCGAGGTCAAAGAAGCCCTATCAACCTAAATGAGAAATTTAAAGCTAGATAATCCCGATCAAACATGAAAAAGCACTCATATTTTTCATTTAATATTGCAATGGATCATCGACTCTCATAAGATCTAAGTTAATGTGCGTGGGAGAATATAGATCGACGGCCGTACCTCAGCTGCTCGATAGGGGGTCGCGGGCCTCGTGCCGACGGGACACGGACAGGGCTAGACGGTTGCAGGAGCGTCTGCCGCTGAGCTCTAACGCCGGATTTACCAAGAAAGAAGCAAGCAGTCGCGGAGGTTGCCTCGAGAAGAGAGACCCGGTGGGAGGCAGAACACTGTATGTGCTAGAATTTTCCCTTAGAGCCGGCAACGACCGGCAGGGAGCGGCAGCATCTGCGGAAGGAGGAGATGTCCACCGCGCCGCCGGCGTCTCACGATTCAAAGGCGCAGTGAAGGAGGCGGCCGAGAGACAATAAGAGAGAGACTACAGCTCAAGCCGGCGAGCTCTCCTATAATAAAAGGGGCAATTTTGTAAGGTCGGAGCTTTTGACTTTGCTTTTTCGTGTCGTCGAGCTTCAAGTCACTAAGTGCAAATAATATTTATAAACTATTTTCAAATAGGTTACATATATTTTCCCCATATTAAATAAATACTTAAAATATTTTAGACTAGGTATGCTGTTTATAAAACTATTATTTTATATCCTTCATTCAAAAATAATATAATGTTATACAAGGAGATTACGTAAATACCCTTTACATTTCCAATCATGGGCTACTGGACAAAACACGATCTTAGTTTATTGCGTCAAATTAGGTTAATGTAGAAGGCTCATTTCATACATTTCTTATAGGAAATATCTCAATTTTCTTGAACAATAAATTTTAAAAAATATAACTTTAAGGCTTTAAAATTAAATGGATCACCACTTCACAAAAGTGTTAGCAAATTGACCAACCAAAAAAAAAAAAAGATTTTTCAAATTATTGGATGGTCTTGGTTAATAAATAATGGCCTTAAAAAGGGAAATAATTGATGATGTGCATTTTCTTTGTTGGTATAATGTGATCACTTAGTCATTATAATTGAGGGCATTTTGAATTAGTCCTTTGAAAAAATCGTGACCTTGTTCAGAAATATTGACTTTATTGATGAGTAATTAGAAATATCAGCTTTGATTGTATACCTTTCATTCTCATGATAAAAGATTTTGTAATCATCATCAGAGTTGACTTTAAAATCTTTCTTTATTGTTATTTTTTGCTCATATGCATTCCAATATGACTCTACTTATGGAAAGGACTCATAGGTGACTTCTAGATGGACCATTAAAGACAGCTGTCAAAAGAGCTGAAGTCTTGTCTTCGATTAATGTGATGAGTCAACGTCATTAAATAATTATTATAAAAAATTATAAAAAATTATAATATTCATTCATACTTCTGTTTAAATGATACATATTTATTAAATCAAATAACTTTGTATGAACAATACAAATGGATATTGTAATAATTGATACTATGCATTTCATCCAATTTGGGTGGTGAAAAAGTGCAACAATTTTATTTGAAAAATGCAATTCTACTTAAAATTTTGGTGTGGGATTTCTTGATTTAGGAAATGCAAGAAATTTTAAAATGGAAATTAAATTCATATTAAATTCAAGGTACAATTAAAAAATAAGTACAATTAGTAAGTGGAGACTAAAAGGGATAACAGAATAATAAAGATACTATTATCTAAATTTGGGAATATATATAATATAATTATCGTATATGCCTGCTAAAGTTGGGATGAAAATTATGGAGATTTTCAAATTTATTATTAAATTGGATAAAATCAAATGATTTTTTTAAAGAAAAATTATATCGAGGCGTGTTTATATAAAAAGGGTTTCATTTTCCATGTTCTAGCCGATTATTTGTTAACCTCCTTTTACCTTCTGTCAGGTGGGAGGGAGTGGACGATGGCGAAGTCGTGCAAGGGGCTCGCAATGGAGCTGATCAAGTGCCTCAGCGAGACTCCTTGCGTCAAGGTATAATGGCTTTTCTCCGTCACCTTCGTGAGTCCCGCCGCTGGGTTTGATTTCTGCGGGAGAACTCGCCAATCCCTAGTGCCGACTTCTCACTGCGCTCGGACTTTCTGGTTGCCACCACTATAAGTTTTTCGCTGCTTATTTCCCATTCTGCGCTGTTTTCCTGCGGCAGATGTGAGGTTTTTTGTTTTCCCTGGGCAAATATAGAAGGGAGAAAGACGATTAGAACACCAACTCCGCGATCGCGGTGAAAGTAAGCGAGAAAAAATAAGTATGTTGAGGAGTCAGTTTCTTCGATGGTGCGGGCCTGGCGTCTTCTCGAGAGTGTGGTAGGCTTCTAAAGATGGGCCACGAAGCTAGAAGATTCTTCTAAGAATGCATGAAGGAACCAACAGAGAAGTGTCTGATCCAGTGTAAACTAGAAACATGTCTAAGATGCACAATAATCACCACAGTTGTCCATTGCTTTATACTTAGGTTTGAAGATTTCGACACGCCTTTATTGTTACTCCATGTTGGGCCTGTTTCATTAGTAGCCATGCAATTTCTCCTGTGTTTTACTGTTTTCATTTTCTTTAGGAGCAGAAGCGATCTTACAGAGAATGTGCTGGAGAGAAAGTCCCACTTATTACAAGTGAGTGTGTGGGTCTGAGGGAGACATACTTCAATTGCAAAAGAGGCCAGGCAAGTTATTATCTTTTCTAGTTCTGGAATTTTTTATATTTAAGTGAACACATATCACTGTCCGCTGAAAGGTAACTACCTTTGAAGATTTCCTCAGTCTTCAAAGATTGCTGATTACTTTGGGCTCGGAAAAGAAGAAATTTTGCTTAAGTTGCTGAATATAAGCCGCCAAAATTTGTTGAGTTATTTGTTCTGGTGTGTCTGTGTCCATCTATCTCTATTAAATTTCTCATTAACTAACTTAAATTTACTAGGGTGATCGACGATTCCTCTCATTGAACTCCTATTGGGGCAATGAGGCACCTTACAGTTTCTAAAAAGCCATCTGTTAGTGCAACATGAACACCATCCTAAAACGTTGAACACATCCTTGTTGTGTAATAAATAAATCCACAGCTGTTGAAAGGCCATGCAAACTTTCATTGGTGTTCTTTGATGCATTTTAAAGGGTAGGGAATGGTTCTAACGGTTGATTCTTGGATGTATAGGCTTAGACTTCCATGTAGATCTAGGATATTCTTTATCAATGCTAATTGCCACCAGTATTGGGATATCTGTGAGTTCATTCTTGATTGTAGATAAGATAATGGCCATTCAAGAAGTGGGTTCATCTGATTTAAAAAAACTTTTCATATTCTTCGTAGATAATGGTCAAATATTTTCTTCAATTTTAGGTTTCGATATTTCTTCTTTCTTAAATAAGTTTTCGGAACTATTTTGATGAATGATATGCTACAGGATTTATCTAACCATTTCCCATGAGAGAAATAAAAGAGGTGGTATTTTGTACAAATGCTAATAAATCCTCAGGAACGGATTGGTTTTCCTTAGGTTTCCATCTGTGCTGTTGGAACATTCTGAAACATGATCTTATGGATGAGATAGAGGAGTTTCAGAAAAGGTCCCGTATGCATCAAACACTTGAATGACCCATTTGTTAACCTACTACCTAAATAAGAACCGGCTGAGCAAGTGGCAGAGTTTAGAACTGTAAGTCTCTTGACTGGTTATAAAATTGTTATGAAGACATTACAAACTGCTTAAAAAGCGTGATGTAGAGATTAGCTGATAGCAATTTATCGGCTGTAATGTGACGAATATATGTTTCAGAAAACATTATGGCGGCTTACAAGGTGATCCATCACCATAGCCCCCAACATTCAAAATGTGGCACAGCAAAGCTAGATTTTGATGAGGCCTTTGGCATAAGAAGTCAAAAAATTATCATTGGTGGAACGCTATTTTTGATGTGCTTTACGGAAGATGGATTAATCTTAACAGCTTTACTGCAGGTCGTCTCTTAATGGCTTTGGTACGTGAATAACACAAATAGGGGGCCAAACCCAATCGTGAAATTCGAATTTCTGAAACTATGATAAAGAATTGGGGCGCCTATTTCACAATCAATTAATTGTTAAGTCTGATAAGACCGAGATATTAAATCACATGATTTAACCCGTTTCTTTTAATATGGTATTATCAGAAGACGTCCTATCATGTGTAGGCAATTTTTTTAACACCCTGACATGTGGGCCATACTGATCAAATGCGCTAGTTAGGAATGGAACCTTGAGCGCCTTGTAAAAGAATCCAGTTATCAATCACAATATCAGTTGTTGATGAACCAGTATGCCCTTAAAGTTGACTATCTTTTACAATGTTGATCTTTTTTAATACATTATACTAGTCCAGCCATTTGCCTGTCTTTTCTGGACGGTACTGTCTATCCTACATAGCCTCCAGAAATCTCTTACGTTAAGCGGAAATTGGATTAACTCCTGGGAATGCAGCGTCCTATGTATGCCAGTCCAATCTTGGTCGCATGTGTCAACAACTAGCTTCATTCTTATGGCTGCTAGTTAGCCATTCAGCTAAGGACTCCGTCATTCAACTAAGTCCAGTCATATCCCTCAAACCAAATGGGAAAACTATGTGAACTTTGGTGCGGTCTTCTCTTTCAAAGATGTCAAAACTTCAGTTCTAATCCCATAAGAAACAGATTATTTTAATGGTTAATTTGTGGAATTCCTTGAAGCAAAATTTCGAGAGAAAATTATGTATTTTGTATCCCCTCCAAACAGAGAACCAGGCAAAGTAGCGCTCTCTTGGGTCTTTGACAATAATCTCTGCAAACAGAGGTTGTTCAGAGTCTACCAAAGACTGTGGACGGAATTAAGTGCTACTCATCATACATTTCGTTGCATACAATATCTTTAGGCACAATTTCACACAATTTTATTTAATTCCTATTATTGTTCTTCAGCATATTCCTTAATTTTTATTAATTTGTTTCAAAGTTCTTTTTCCGCTTTTTGATATCAGATCCTCTGCCGTAGGGTTCAATTCTGATGTCTGTGGAAAATATCATGAACTGAAAACAATACAAATTAGCATCACCTTACCCGAAAAGATTCCTCTACACTTTGTAAATAGCCCTAATAGGATCAATCATCCTCTGGAACCCTTCTGTTATGGGACCCCTCTGGTTCTTAACCCTTTTTTCTTCTATTCTACATAGGTCGAAGCTGTTGCTCTTATAAGTTTGGGCACAGATATTCAATAACTAGGGTCTTGCAGAGCTGCACCACCTCCTTTGTTGAAAGGGACAATACTGTTGCAACTAACACAATTCAATGTGTCACATACTTAGATTTGTCCCTGAAATGATATACATCATATGGGAAAATCAGATCAGATCCCCGAATTCGCCAGCTGCAATCTGATCAGGATTGGGGCCAGGCACACCTAGTGCGACCTGTTTTCAGCTGGTGGGGGGTGGGCACAGAACTAAGAGAAGAGCATGCTCTTTTAGGTTTCTTTCTTCACTCCTGGCAGCTCCCCTGTCACTGCGAGATTAGGCTGGACTGTATCTAGCCAAGTACCTTTCAACGATGGAACCATCCCTACCTACTGTTTCTAAGCTTATCTTCCAGTGCTTTGGTGAACTGGCCATTGCCTGATAGAGTTCCGAAATTGGTTAAGTTTTGCAACAACTCTTATCTTCAGCGGGCATTCATGGGTCGTTTTTTACTGTAATACCTTGCTGAAAATTTTAACATCTTAATTCGTGAGACGACCTTTTGTGATGCAAACAGAGGTGAACCTAATATTTTCTGATGCATCTTTGTCAAGAAGCATAAACATGACTTCTGCACTGGTTTGAGCTCAGCTGAATCATGAAGCATAAACTTGAACTGTATTGTGTAGCCATGAAAATCAAGGATGAACTAGAGAGAAAATGAAAGGATGGCATTGTTGGGGGGCCCTAACCGGTTCTTTGAGATCTGAGAAAGATGCATGTCAATGGACCCTGTAAGCCAGCAAAATTGCCTAACCACACAAGTAGGGCTGAGTCAGACCAAGTTTTCATTTTACTGCAGCTCAGGCTGGTAGACCCTTTGAAGATCAGATGGAGCCCTGGACCTGGCGTAGAGAGGAGGGGGAGAGAGAGAGAGAGTAATGGATGTATTGGTCTGTTTACAGAAGAAGACATGAGCGAATGGGGAAGATAACAGAGAAGAACAGGGGAAAGGATAGATGGAGAGGACCCCAGGGGAACCTTCCAAGGGAGCCGATTCGAAATGGCTAATCTCCACTTCTCGATTTGGAGATATAGGACTCAAAATAACTCACTACCAATCCATAGTGTCCCGGGGGTTCTTCTTATAGCCATCACGGTCTTCATCCTGTGCTCCGACTGGTCAACCACCTCTGCGCTCCGTCACCTAGTTCCGGCCTAAGCGGGTTGACCTTTGCATGGCGTAACAGCCCATTGTCAATTGACAGGGCCGTGATCTCCCACCGACCATTAGTATCTTGTTCACATGCTAGTTGGGATCTTGAGAGAGGAGGCGAATGCCTCAACAGAAGGTCCATTGACTCCTTACAATCTTTCTGTCTGTTTTTTCTCTTCAACATACCAATTATAGCTTCAAAACCACTTAAATATTTATCATGGGTGATTAATTTATATCTCGCTTCCTTTTGGGTTTGTATTCGCAATGATCTCCCACTTGATGTTGGGCATATGCACTTGATGTTAAATACGAAGAGCCCCATTGCTCATAACCACTTACATTTAAATGGTTCATGGCTTGAAGCTCTCCGTCTCTCAGAGATTCTTCTCAGAGAAAATTTCTTCTGAATTCCTCCATCGTACCAGGTCGACATGAGGGCTCGGATTCGTGGGAACAAGGGGTATTGAGTTACCGACTCTTTTGGTAGGCTCTCGTCTCTCTACCCTTGTAAATTTCTCCAGTCAACTCTTCAAAGTCATCAGATGGTTCTGACTTTCTTGAATCAATTCAGGGGAGAAAATCCTGCAAGACCACTGTTACGACAGCAGAAGGCAATCTTTTTATTTCCTTTTCTGTACTCCAGCAATCACCACTCGAAGACGAAGCCTTTATCCATTCAATGGGATGCTAATTGACGGTTATTCTCCCTCTTGCATCCTTCTCATCCCTGGCATGTATCTCGCCCTGCCAGCCAAAATCCAGTCTATAACACCAGAAACAAGGCCCTGAAGACAGCAGCTGCCACAGTATTCCTGCAAATTGACCGACGAGGCTGTGAACAATGCTAACAGGCCATAAGCTGTGGTCTCAGCTATTCTCTGATCAGTGCCCGTCTTTTGTTTCTGAGGGCTGGACTGATTCCCCCCCCCCCCCTCTCTCAGGAGCTGAGAATTATCATAGATGATAAATGAAACGATCAGCTTGTGATTACAGCATGCCAAAAACTATGGAAAAGCTGGGAATTATAACAGACGATAAATAGAATGAAGGGGAAGTGAAGAACACTAACAAGAAAAACTTCTCTCTTCAGTGATCATATTTATTTCTTTTTTGAGACCTGGGCAATGCCTCCTCATACACGTCAAGAAGCTGGGGATTATGAAATGTGCCCAACGAGGTAGTGAGGATCAATGGGCATCTTTTTTTCTTTGTTGGCAGTGACCTCGACTAATGAATTACATTGACACTACAAAAAACACGAAAACTTTTGGGGAGATATTCAGCAAGCTCTTACTTGGGTTGATAGAAGAAAGATTCTCTCTCTCTCTCTCTATGGAGCTGAGAAGAGTGTGCCCAAGGTGATATCATCTACCATTTTGGTGAAGACTCTGCTCATTCATCATCTGATCCCATCTCCAGCAAAGTGAGAAGGACCAGTGACCCAACAAAAGGGGGCACCGATGGCGGTCTGGCAAATGCCACGACCGGCTCTGCATTTTCGTTCACCACAGGCCGCTCACTCATGCCGCCATCATCTTCGTGCCTGTTCCTGACTGATATCGTCATTGCTCCTGCGTAATCATCAGAGAGAGAGAGAGAGAGAGAGAGAGAGAGAGAGAGAGAGAGAGAGAGAGAGACTTTGAGTTAACAGTTCATTGCAAGCAAAATGAGATGATGACCTCCACTCCACTAGTACTGACACACTCATCTCTTACTTGATGTTCCTCCGAGTGGATGGATGCGTTTCAAAGTGTTCTTCACAGGAAGCTTGGTGATTCTGAGCATTGTTGGTCACCAAACTTTCATGAAATGGGAAGCTGCTGATCCTGTAATGCGGACGCAATGAAAGGCAAAACAAACGAAATATGTTACAAAGTCAAAGTTTATTTTGCTCGTATTAACTACCTTTGAGGAAAGTTTAAGACGTCAAGGTATAATATCCTACTATCTTGCATGGATAATACTAGGTCATAGAATATAATGTCATACTGTGCTCATTAAAAAAGACTATGGAGCATCTGATCAAGATCGCCGAAACCATTATTTATTGAAAAAATATAACGTTAATGATGTCAATATAAAAATACAGGATGAGAAGAATATAAGTTTTTGTCATAAGTCCAGGTTAAAAACTTAAAATGTAAGTTTATAAAAAGCTGATGAATGGCTGCTTGGGGAGTGAATACTATTTGATTTGGCGACGAATGGATGATGAAAAAATCCCTAGTACTATGAAGACCAAAATGAACCCTTTGTATATTGCATTCATTCACTAAAAGGTCAGTAGAAAATCAATGCAAATGTAGCTCATTGAAGTCAGACATCTAGCAGCACATGGAAACAGAAGGTACACTACATAATCCATTGTCATGAAATAATAGTCTCATATATTGGCATTCCATCACTTGCCCTAAGGCAACTAGGTCCATTGGGTACGGGAATATCTCTTGCTGAAAACTATGGGAAATTAATACGATGCCAATTGATCCCTGAAACTTGGACTAATTTATTTTATCGCAACTTCAAAAACATTGTTCTCTAGACTATTCTTCAAAAATAGTTGCCTATATTTGCAACAGTTGAGAAAAAATTCCTTATGGGAATAATAACTGAGCCAAACTATGTAAGCTTTAAGCCATTGCATCAGATTTTTCCTTCACAATTCTGGATTGCCCTTGGTTAGAAAGACGGGAATGGAAGTAAACAACAGGTGATGGTTATTGATTGGTACAATATGTCTTCACATACATAATTATTTTGCAGTACTATCCAAGTGGCCATACACCCATTGCTACTTTGGTTCTTGATTCTAAATGTCGTGTAAATTTATCTATGAAGACCAAAACATGTAAATTTTAGATGGCCAGAGAAGCCAGATCTAATCCAACAGTCTTAGACCTCAGACTGATGATATCCTCGACCAACTAGCTTGTTCTCCAATCTTCTCTATGTTCCAATTGAGGAGATGGCACATTTAAATACATATCAGGCAGATAAATAAAAAGTTGATGTCATTCAATATTAGGTCTACATGGGTGGCTGTGATCTCATACAAACTGAATAAATAATGGGCTTTAGTAATCACATCTTCAAGGACCTTTGTATCATGGTACCCTTGTTCACAACTCAGGTTAATAACTGCCACGGCACCATCTTCATCAATTCTTGAATATTATTTAAATCTTGATCAGAAAAATTTCATGTAAAATGGTTAAATTTTGGAAAGTTAGCATGTGTCGTTGGAAGGCACCAAGATGAGTTCTAGATAATATCAACAAAACCCTCTTCAAAGCGCCAGCAACTATGAATTTACAAGCTTCCACGATTTGCTCACCATTATCAATGTTTTATATGAAACTTAAGCTCTACTGCAGCACAGATCACCACTTTTCTCCGAAGATGGACATCAGATCGTTTGAGTAAAATTATATTTTTCTTGTCAAAGAAGATCACCAAAGCAGGTATTTCTTTGGTGATAAAGGTAAGAGGATTGGGAAATTAGCAAACAACCAGAACAAGGTCAAACTGACATTGAAATAACAACGAAAGGCAGAAAAGAAGCCTAATAAGCACCAGAGTGCATAAACCTTTAAATATGAATAACTAATTTAGCTAGATCTCTAATAGGGTCATTTTCAACATTGTTGTATTCCTTGAGTAAAACCATAAAAAATGCTCGTAACATTGAGATTCCAAGCTTCTGTGACTTCTACAGTACTTTGTGTTTGAGACTTGTCATCATACTTCAAAGTACAAACTGAACTTAGATCCCCTCAGTATCATTACATCCATTTCCTAAGGTGTTACAGAAAGAAAGAGAAATGTGAACCAAGCAGCTTCTCTAGGGAAATCCTTCGGAATACCTTTCAGGGGAATTATTCGGACCTTGGAGCACACCCATTAGAGTCTTCAAGGACTAAAGGGGTTGAGAATTAACACTAAAAGCCAAAGAGAAAATGTTGACTCTTGATACTTGATTTTGCTTTGAAAAATGCGACATAAAACACCTTTCTGCGAACTCTTATAAAATACTAGATAAGAGGAGGCAACAAGTTATACATAAAGGTTGGTTTATGGAATACTGCCAAAAGTTAAACCAAGTGGTAGTTAAACAAAATATTTTAAGATATCATAATTTTTTTGTGACGTTTAAGAAAATTATTTTGCCAACTGAATGTGTGAACAAGAGACCGCCCCGTGGTGATTGACACAGTGTTGGAGGTAACTTTTCTCGCTGATAATCGGCATCCCCCACGTCTAGGTGATCCGATCCTATACTAGTTCGTCAGTAGGTGTCCTGCAGACTGCATTCTCCCAAAATGACAACATTAAATAAGGTGAAGGGAGATATAATTGGCTGCCAGTCCAAAACAAAAGTTAAAATCTTCCACCGTATACTTGACATATTTTATATGCCCAGCAAGTGAACATGGTGGAAAAACACCAGGTTTAACGAGTTCGTAACGTTTTATTTAGCCTGAATATTTACTTGCATACTTAATTATCATAGTTTTTTTAAAAAACTATGCAATAGTTCTTAAATAATAATTTTATAGAGACTATGCTCTCCAAAAATGACACTACTTATTCACCAATGTTGTCTATCTGCACAAACTTGTTAATTAAGTATGATTCCACTAAGAGAAAAAAAAAATACCGTACCTACAAGAATGATTTTGCAAAGTCAAGAAACAATCAATCGAAGGATAAATCACCCAGGCTATATGCGCAATGGTAAGGTCTTCAATCTACTGTCCACAATTACGCCACCCGATTTCCAATCGATAAAGGAAATCAGAAACAAAAACCTCACTTCATTAAAAAAAATCATAACATCCAACAAGAACGTGTCTGCAAAGTTATTAAAAATGAGTAGAATCGGACATTTACCGAGAAGAATCGAGATCGAAAACACGTCGTGCCCACCCCTTCTCGACGAGGGAGAGGGCGCCTGGCGACGACAGCGGCCACACCGTCAACTGAGAGGGTTTTCTTCGAGCGAGCCGCCCTGTGAGACCGCCGAAAGAAGTGGAGACAGAAAACGACCTCCGAAGCTTCTGGGCTTCGCCTCCAGAGTCTCTTCGAAACGCTGACTTCGTCCCATGACCTCAGGGCCTATTTCAATGATCATCCGCCGTCCAGACAATAGGCCCTGCGACTCCTTGCCGTTGGATCTCAAGCTCCCCAGATCCATCACGTGAACGGTCGGTTCAGATCTCTCGAGACCATTGCCATCTGGAAGGTTCTCCAACTACGGCGGGGCCTCACGCTGCCTTGGAACCTTCTACCCCGACCGGTCTAGCTATAGAGTACAAGACCCTCTCTCTCTCTCTCTCTCTCTCGCTAGGGCACGTCCATTTGGATGCCCTCTTAGTTAGTAGAGGGAGACTGACTATATTCATCTAAAATATAATGTAATTAGTGGACCCTAATAAACCATAGATTTTCAAATAAATAAATAAAATTATATTTTCACGTTATTATGATATTTTTATGATATTTTTGAAAAAAATAATATTAATAATATATATTTTTAATATAAGTCACAATAAAATTAGATTATTAATTAAGGAAAAATTCGGTGTCATTAATGGCGGGGGGGAAATGATGGATGGAAATGACCCTTTTACTCCCACGCCTTTCGAGGAGGTCTTATCTTTTTAGGGTGTTTTGGTCTTTTGGGTCAACTAAGTTAGAGCCATTAATTGTACATAATAAGGAAATGAAAAATTCCCTAAAAAGGGTTGTTGCCTATCTCAAGCTGGTTTCTATGATGGACCGGTTTAGGCCGAGTCTCTTCGCTCGGCTGGGTCGAACCGGTTCGAGTCGGTTTCTTCGATATCTGATCCGATAAGTCCGTTGTTAACGGATCCTTATCGGTAGAATTCGATAAGGATCTCCCCCCGCCTCTCTCTCTCTCCCTCTCTCTTTCTCTCTCTCATAAGCCAGTCACCGCTCCTGGCGCGGCTCCAGAGGCCGGAGCAGGAGCCTCAGCCCCGGGGAAGGAGAGAGGACGACGGCTTTCTGGTTGAAGAGGTACTGGAAAATTTCATCTCCATATGCTTCGACTAGTATCATTCAACTGTGCTAGGGTTTTTCGTTTTTACTTCCGCGTTGAAAGGGTAATGATTTCTACTGTTTTCCTCTTCCGTCTCAAAACTAGGGTTTTATTTTTCGCTGAGTAGCAAGCGACGTGTTCGGAACTGGACACTTTCGCAAACCGTTCTTTACATGGTTTTCATAGTTGTTGTGTCTACTGTATGTCTAAATTCTTGCATCAAGTTCTGTTTCACACTCACCGACGGACCAGGTGTTCTTATTTTTCGTGAGATGACAAAAACCGAAGCAACTCGTCAAACCCCCATCCTACGACTACATCAACGTTCATATACTGGAGCAATGCGTTTCTGAATGGAATGTTTGCGTTGATTATGTGGGTTCCGGTTAGACGGGCACTCTTCTTCGGTTATCATTATGTGAGAATTGAAACTAAGAGGATTTCGATCTCCACTGAGTCTTCCACTGCAGTGCGTGATGATTCACTCCCAAGCTCCAATTTCATTTCGGTTTTCTCGTGTTCTCTCTTCTTCGTACTAATTTTTCAGCCATTCATCGGTAGATGACTTCCCATTAGCATTACATGAAATATATTCCATACTTCTGCTGTACCTATTTGTTGAACCCTGAGTGCCAACTCCTTGAAAAGTACAAAAAAATTGGTGAACATTTTCTTCTGGAAGATGATGGTACCAAAGTACAAATATATGATTCATGAGCTCTTAAAAAAATTCTCTGTACATCTATTGTGTCCTAAGACAGTGTAATTCCGTGCAGAAACTAGAAAGGCGTCAATCCCGAAATAACAGATTCCCCACATTCTTATCTGGCATCAACGTCATCCACTCTACTAATTGTCAAAAGTTACTGAAAAACCCTTGGTTTGATGTGTCGTTTTCCTAATTTGAATGAAGATCATGTGAAATGCCGTTATATGAAATATTTCAATGGTAATATTCTCCTGTGAATGATTCTCAGCACTGAGGTATCACAAAGTGAGCTGTCAACTTTTTTGGTAATGGCTGTTGTATTTTTAGTGCGACACGACGCACCTGTTTATGCTGATTGAATTCTTGGCAGGAGAAATGGAACATCCAGAAGATGATGGTCGCATTCCTGGGGATCATCATGGTAAACCAGATGATGAGGTATGACCATCTAGTTTACTGCAAATATACACTACTGGATGCTGATCACATTCATTACTCCTCATACATGAATTAGTTAACATGCAATGCTAATATGTTTCTTAATTTTAGTTTTTAACCAAATATAGTTACACGAATACGAATTTACTGCTCTGAGCATTGAATTAATCAGAAACTTCTGGAGAATGGTGGGTATTTATTATTTCTCCCTTTGAACTGACAATTGTTGCCCATCTTACAAATCCTGAATTTTCAGCACATATAATGATTTATGGAGCCATGTTTTTCATGCTTTTGCTTATGTTCTGGATAATTTTTCTTTCTTAATTAGGCATGTCTTTCGTCATTGCCGATATCATCGTGGTGCACTTATATCTTTTAACTTGTGCTAGTTTGTAATTACAGAAAACATGCTAACACTTTTTTCTTTATTTTGTTACACTGGCACATTATTGAAGTGGTTACAGGGATGTTTTGTCTTAAATTTTACTATGATGTTTTGGAAGGGTAATTGAGACGGTTCCATGGTTTTATGATACAGTTCTTAGTCTATGGATGGTAGATACATGGTGTGAACTGATCTAATTCCTGTAGCGGCAAATTGTATTTCGAATATAAAGACTCAATTTCTTAATCTCTATTCTCTATGTCACAGGAAACGAGTGCTCGTCTTGAGGAATTCAAAAAATCTGTTGATGCAAAGGTTCATCTTCGTCAGATTAATTTGAATCCGGAAAGACCTGGTTAGTTGATGCAACTTAAACTATTCATTGGCAAATCATCAGATGAACAAGTGACTATTTAAGATAAGATTTTTTTAAAAAATGCTTGTTGCAAAAACTGACATGCTTTGGGAAATCTAATTGAGTTGAAATTGAAATAAATTTAATGACATTAGTTTATGACAGTCTGCTTTGGCGAAATATAAATCCACTTATACACAAAATTCTACATACCTAATTCATAGGTATGCCATTTACTGGTTCATGAGTGCCACTTGTGGGGATGATTGCAAATAACATTAGAATCTATTGGATTCTTGTTTGAATTATGTTCTGAAATTTTCTGCTAGCAAAGATGATAATCATCAATTTAACAGGCGGAAAGGATCTCTTAGAAAATAATATTTACATTTCTTGTGTCCTTTGTACTTGTATTCTCTCTTAGATGGAAGTATTGAAGCTTATTCCTTGGATGATTTTCACCATTAATTTTCCTTCTTTTTGAGTGATATTTTCTTCAGGAAATTATCTAGAACCGAAATGGTTGTGATACACTCAGTTTTTGATATCAGGCGGGAAAAAGCATCCCTTTCTCTTTTGTTTGAGGGGTTTTCCCTTGTGAAGTGACCAGACCGTTTCCTCTTCAGCAGATCCTTTTATTGGTATCATTTGGTTGGCCAACAATTTCGTGATGTTGGGGCCTCACGTGTATTCTGTCATGTTATTTTCCAGTATGTGGTGATGAGAAAATTTCCAGTTGTGGGGTTCATTTTAATTTTGGCGCAAATACTCCTTCCATCCATGTTTGTATAGTGTATGTAGGAGTGGTTCTATCGTAATTGTGACTGTGCCCATTTCTTTTTACTTCGTTTTCTTAACGAAAATCAATAAAGCCAATCCTGGGGACTTCATTTTAAAGAGCTTCACTAGTTTTTGCCGTTTCCCAATAGACAGTAGCAAAAGGAGGCACTTGTAGGCAAAAATCTGGGAAGATTGTTATTCGAGTAATGGTTTAGTTTGCATGTAATCAATGACTTAGTTTAAACATGAAGTGTAATTTTGTAAATCACGCTTGGTATTGTATTTCCTTCCTTGGTTCTATTTCAAAATTCACCTAGGGTTAATTTTGGGGAGTTGTGGAAGAAATAACTTCACGGTTTCGTATCATATAGTCTTATTTTAACGATATCACTTTCAGTTATGCATGATCCTTATTAGCTGTCATGTAAACTTTCTATGAACGACCTATAATCTAAATTCTAACGATTCTGTTTTTATTCATTTGAAAATCAGTTTTCTTGTGACAGTCATTGCAGTTGTAAAACCAGGACATTGTTAAGTGACTTAAGGTGGTTTTTATTCCTTGATGATTGAAGGTTTTAATTCTCGGTTTGAAAATATTAGTTGTGATTTGTTTTCTCAGTAGAAATAGTAGGTACCGTAACATTGGACGCTGCACCCAAATCTTTGAGGGTTGAAAATGGACTGTGATTATCATAAAATTATATGTCGGCAAGAAGACAAAGGCCAATGGATTTGTGCGAGTGGGCTAAAAGATTCTTGCCTTGTCACCTTGGTGGTATTTGTGATTCAACCATCATATTTTATACGTTTTTAGATAAACTAATCTTATGTTATAAGATTCTGAAGGATGTGTCTAGTCTAAAAAAAAGGGCACTGATGATATGTTTTAAATGACCTTTTTAAGTTGAATAACCTGATCTGATCAATATCGTTATGAAAAATAAGATTTATCGACGAAACCACGTTTGATAAGATATAAAGCCCTAATGAATAGTACTGTGACACCTTCACCAATGTGTAGGGAAATTTCTGACGTAATTTAATAATCGCTCTGTATAGGGGGTTCAAAGCTAGTTCTGAGAGCTATTGTATCAAGGATAGAGAATGATTTGATAGTATTTTGTAAACATGAATTGCAGTTTGTGTTTCCACTTTTTGCTGTGAATTTTTTACGATCACAAGTTTAATTGAATTTGATGTAAAGCCGATCTTATATCTGAAATAGATACTAGTTAATTAGAACCTTCCTTGGAACCTCAAGTAAAATCGCACTTTGCCTCTGTGCTATGCCTTCTTCCCTAACGAGTGGGGGTGTGGGTGGTTGGCCTTGTTTTCCGGATTCACCTTAATGACTGTGGAAGCAGAGAATAGCTGGCAAACTGTAATCCTATAATATCAGTGACTTTTGACAGTTACATAATTATCTTCCCCACCATGGTCACGGTATGTGAAATTGATCATTTCGAATTGTTATGATGGCATTATTAGCTATGGTGGCTTCTTAATTTTCCTAAATAAGATCACGGCCATATTTTTATTTTCAATTCTTATTCTGTATCTATATTACATGTGCTCTCATGTGATGTACAGTCATATATATCGAGATCTGATATTTGAGCTATCTATACAGATTCAGGGTTTCTGAGAACATTGGATTCCAGCATTAAGCGCAATACAGCTGTCATTAAGAAGCTTAAACAAATAAATGATGATCAGCGAGATGGATTAATGGATGAGTTGAAAAGTGTCAACTTAAGTAAGTTTGTTAGTGAAGCAGTGGCAGCTATTTGTGATGCCAAGCTACGCACATCAGATATTCAAGCAGCCGTTCAGGTGAGGGTCAATTGTCATCTTGATCACATGGATACATTGTGTGGCTATATATATTTTATTTCTCCAATATGTCCTTTTTAACCACCTTTCAATACATCGCTTTACAGGTTCCTTCTTTGGATAGTTTTGAGGAATTATTTTTTTTAATATTTGCCCGCATGAAATAGAGATGTATACTTATTTGATGTTCTGTTGGAGTCCTGCCACGAAATTCACAAGCCATTTTGCAAGCATATCACCAATTTAGCTAACAAATGAATTGCTATATACTCACAAAAAGGAACGGCTATGTGATATTTCTATGTACCCGCCTGTTCCACAATAATTTCTTCAATAATGGTGGTAATAATATAGATAAAGATGACAAAAATTATGTAAAAGGTGGAAATTAAAATAAAGATTGACTAGTGATAATATTCTTATGTGTGGGGAGTGTAGGCTTTTGGAACACATCTGTTACTGGTTTGGCCTGGGATATTACTCTTCGCTAATTTGGAGCGCTTTAGTTTCTTCTTCAGAAATATCTTGCCAACGTAATGATCCTTCTCGGTATTTTATCGTCTGATATTTAAACATGGAGCTTTAGGGTCAGAAAGTCGGCAATGCTATTTTTGTACTTGTGTATTGTTAACTTGCCCAGAGTGTTTCAGAGACAACTTCATTTTTTGTCAGAATCTTTGATGAAAAAATTTAACATACGTAGCCCTTGAGTTTATTGGGTATATTTTGTTACTAGCTTATTGATCTTGTAATTCTTTTTTCTTCAGGTTTGTTCCTTGCTTCATCAAAGGTACAAGGACTTTGCAACAAACCTTGTTCAGGGCCTCTTGAAAGTGTTCTTTCCTGGAAAATCTGTCGATGAATCAGATGTTGACAGAAATTTGAAGGCCACGAAGAAACGAAGCACTCTCAGACTGCTTATGGAACTTTATTTTGTTGGTGTTGTAGAGGATGCGGGCATTTTTACAAATATTATTAAGGATCTTACAGGCTCAGATCATTTAAAGGATCGGGACGCAACCCAGACTAATATTTCTCTTCTTACCAGCTTTGCTAGACAAGGAAGGTATTTTTTGGGACTTAAGCAACCTGGGCAGGAAATTAATGATGAGGTACCATCTGTATTCTCATTACAATTCTTGCTGTCCGTTTTGATATTTTTGGGGTGGGAATGTTGTGGGCATGATTCATTGAAACTTTGAAGTATAAATCAGCTCCTGTCATGGAGCCAACAATAACAGGCCACAACATTTTTGAAGCGACTTTACTTGAAGCCTCTCAATCCATCCTTCCGATAGCCTAACATAACTGACTACCTCAAGCATACGGACTTAACTGAAAGCATGAACCATTACAGGAAATTAAAGTTCTCCCCAGTAGAGTTCAGTATGAAATTTACAGTCTCTCGTTCCCGAATTATCTTTAGTGAAACATTGAATTGAGGGTGAATATAATCTTTCCCTATTGATCTCTTTTCATATGAAAAATAATACTGACACTATCTAGCCCACTAACCTCAGTCACAGGTAGCTGGGTATGATCCATACTTATTCCTATGGGTCTTGTATTCCTTGGTAAGGATTCGTCAGTTATAAGTTAGTCTTGAGGTGAGGGTGGTACTGTGAAACATCAAGGTTAGTTAGAAGCAGTCATGAAAAGGACGCTACTTGAACTGTTCATTGTCCTTTTTTTTTAATCATTCAACATCTTTCATCCATCAACTTATTTTAACAGATGTAATTATTGAATTGCATCTTTTCAATGGGATCAGCCCCCTGCTTCCTCATTGCAATCATGGACAATAAAGGCGTTATTCCGAGTGAACTTTTCTTACAGCACCACACACTGGCTTAGATTCCCTGATCAGCAAAATTCTGCTTTGATTGCATTCTGATCAACGTGTCAATTGGCCAGTATCATTTTCAACTAAGAAACCGTCATGTTTTGTGATGGACTGAGTAGGCAACTTATTCTGTGGTCTCATACTGATGGATACGCTTATAAGCTAACAGGCAGGAATAAAAACCATTTATTGTCCACATTGCCCCAAAACCAACTACTCATCTTTTGTTATGGTGCTCTAAAGGACTTGGATTACTAGTGGAAGAAGGGATGCAAAAGCTAGCAGTAAGAAAAAAGGGATGACATTTCCAGTTGTTTATGAGAACTTAAATTATTATGTAGAACAGTGAGAATGAAAACTAATCGCTTATTTTTTGAGGGCATATCACGTGTCTACCTGAACATAGATATATTAATTTTTTTTGGATTAAAAACCTTCTTTCGATGTAAGCACTTTATGAAGAGGGTTATCTGCTTATTCCTATCCCTGGTTGGAGACCCCTAAATACGCCTAAGTCGACAGTTAGGGCATAAATCTAAAATTTGTGCTCGCTTAGGCACTGCCTGGTGCCTCACCTTCTTTTCTAGGTCCCTAAATACTGCAGTGGATTACTATTTTGGCCATCTTATTTACTTTATTGTGGACCGTAACCACTTACGAAATCCATAAATTCCTATTGTAAACCACGAATTTCTTGAACCTTTTTATTCCACACTGATCCTTTGATTTCAAAATTCGTAACACTCTAAGATTTCCCTAAATTCCTAGTGGTTCAATTATGAGTGAGGGCATTTTCTGTTGGACTCAAATTGAATAGGGTTTGGTAAAACCATGGCACAATCAATAATATCGGTGTGTAAGTAGAGGTTTGGGTAAAAACAAAATGAAGGCTTCAAACACCATATCACTTATGTTGATTATAAAGTTTTGTTGAAGTTACATTGTGATGGTGTTTTTTATTGCTTCTGATGGTAGTATTGTGATATGATTTTTTCTACTATTTATGATATCCTTTTCTTACTCTATCTGCAGTTTTTTAAGGGACTGAACATCACTGTTGATCAAAAGAAAATCTTGAAGAAAGCTTTTCAGACATATTATGATGCTATCACCGAAGTTCTCCGATTAGAACATTCAGTAAGTTACTAAGATATATCTACATAAGTTTGTGACATGAACTTTTTGTGATGTCGTGTTTTTTTCCCTGTAACTCTCAGACACTTCACCAGATGGAGATTGAAAATGCTAAATTGTTTAGAGGGGAGCTCAGTGATGAAAGTGCAGCATCATATGAGAAACTGCGGAAATCATATGACAGTTTATTCCGGAGTGTATCTTCGTAAGTTTTAGGCTGAACCTTCCTTTTATTTTTATTCGTGAAAGAGAAGTTGGTCGTATTTTTTTTTTCTGGCTCGTATTCTAGCTACTAATTTGATAATTTAAATTTTGGCTATTGGTATTAAGTCTAGAATCTGTCGCATCTTTCTGTTCATAAGTAACTAAGATAAATGAAGTAGTGCCTTTTTTTATCCAAGGATGCAGGAAAAATAGCAGAATGAATGATTTTATCTCATCAGATTATCTGATAGAAAAATTTCAAATCTGAATGTATAACTCTCTTTCCTTGTCAATTAGTGCCTATGAGGAGATGAGTGTGATTATAACTTTTTCTTTGATTTGCTGCTGGCGGAAAGTGTGGCGGCTGAGATTTTCTTAGTTATCAGGAATACAACCTGATGTACAGTCTTTTCTCCTACGTGTGAACTTTATCAATAGGACGCGATCAAGTTGGTTGCAGAGTTGATGAGAACGCATGTGCTTCTTTAAAGCATGTGATCATGATAATTTTTCCCCAGGTTGTTTTTGGTGTGTTGTTCATCGTTCATTGACGACCAGTGTTAGAGTTAGTCACTGTCAGAATGTCTCCATTAGGACTGGGTGTCATGGTTTGCTGTATGGCTGCAGCATGCTATAGGGAGCGAAGTCAATATTTTCAGTCAGAAATATTGTTTCAGGGCGTGGGAAGAAGGTACTGATGTCAAAATGCATTACTGTTGGTTTTCTTAATTTCGGTCTACGGACTTCTTTTTTTTATGATCTCCTTGACGGGGAGATATTCCCATTACGTTCTTCTGTAGCATGTATGTTGGGCGTGTGGAACGGGCTGCATCAGGACAAGAAAACTGGCTGCATGACCCTCGGGCTGTTGTGGGCTGGAATGGAGCATCGAGGCTTTATATTCTTTCCTGAATCTGTTGAGCCAACATCAAGTGTTGCACATGTGATAGTTCCGTAGTAAACTGAGAGCAAAAGGTTTTAGATCATTTGGGTTTACTGGGTCTTCTCACTATGATAAACCTTTGGAAATTACTAGATCTTGTGAATTACTCTGTAAAGGAAGATAAATGTTACCAGCCACACCTTTCTGCCTATGATACTTATGGACAGTGAGGAGGGTAACAATTCAGTGGTGATTTTTCTGAGACTTGTTAATAATGCTTTAATTGCTAAAAAGGAAATTTGACTTGCGAAGTACCCAAGTTCACAACATTGTGATGCATTTTTGTAGGATAGGTAGGATAGGTTGGATAGATTTAACTGGTTCACGTCCTTTTTTTTTCTCAGGTAGAAGAGAATTACCATAATATTTATTGTAACTAGAAAAATATTTTCCGAGAAAAGTATTCCATTCGTGGAGAAAAATCATATTCATTCTAACTAGAAGGTTGGAAATGGTTTTGAGCATTTTTAACTGTAGGCGTGTCAAATTCCTTGGGGAAACAACACTTTAATCCGTTGCATATTTAGTTCAAAGATTATCTGCTATTTTTCCAGCAAGCTGTAGGTTATTCTCAATTTCTTTCAGAAATATCATCTTTCTCCATTTGCTGATAGATTTGCTGAAGCCCTTGATATGCAACCACCTGCAATGCCGGAGGATGGCCATACAACTAGAGTTTCTACTGGAGCAGAAGTAACATCTACGTCTGGGAAGGAACCAACAGTGCCTGAACCTATATGGGATGACGATGATACAAGGGCCTTTTATGAATCCTTGCCCGATCTGAGGTTCAGTTGGCTGTTATCTTCTGCTGTTCTGAGAAAAAACTTATAAACGAACCACACTGATTTTCAAGAATCTCATTTGAACTTACTGAGGCTACTTCTTATATTTCTACCAGAGCGTTTGTTCCTGCAATATTGCTTGGGGAAGCAGAGCCGAAGATGAATGACCAGTCGTTAAAGAATCATGAGGATCAAAATGTAAGATTTCTGTCTTAAATGCTATTATTACGTATCCTTTTTTCATGGTACCTTGGCCCCATGTTGATGAAAATTATACGTATTTGTCCTCATAGGGACAAAACTCTATTTTTTTCTCGTCTTGCAAACAGATTTTTATTTTCCAAAGATGGATGATCCATCTTCAAAGACATGAGTAAATAATGTAACATTGATTAGGCGTATACTTTGTATAGCTCTGTTCGTTTCAGTTGAGCCTCTTGTTGGCTGTCTCTCCTCGCAAATACCTTCGTGAATTATGAATTTTCATGCTTTTTTTCAAATGAATGCTGGACCAGTGGACCACAGGAGGTCTGTCGCTCGAGAAGATATTCTATTTCTTTCCTATGATTGACTCAGAGATAGGAAAATAATGCTTCAGAAAGCTTGGTTGTCACATCGATGAAATGATCGACAGTGATGAGGACAGTGATGATGTCCTCTAAGATATTTTTCGATACAGAATAATACAAAATCCACTTTCATTTTTTTGTTCAAATATCCATAACTTCCTAGGCACCTTGTCTTTCCACGGGACTTGGTCTCTATCAGAGGTATACTTGGTGGGTATATTGATAGGCTGGCATGTTACTGACGTTAGTGAAGATTGTATGTAAATTCACAATCTTCTATACTTCGTAGTCCGTGGGATTGGGTGATCGTGATCAGATTCCGTATTGACCAAATTAGTTGATTAGAGGGTAAAATCGTGATTTATGAAAATGTAAACATGTTGTAAAACGTGATTTGTTGGATATGCTTTTAAACATTCAGAAGAAAAGAGATAATACGACAATTTTTTGCTGTCATATGTTTTTAGTTAGCTCGTTGTCACTGTTATTGCCTCTCCTTTATCATTAGCTAAATGACTTTCCCTTATTTTATTGTTCTTTTATTCTTTCTTCGTTTCATGGACAGAAGGCCATGAACTGTCTACCTCAGTGTACAATCAGCCGATCTGAGATGAGACAATTAACCCTGATTCATTTTTGTGTTGAACTTTCAAGCGATGTCTTGCTGGTCTAGTTTGGGTTCATCTGGAACCCGACAGTCTTCAGTTTCAACACCTGAAAAGGGAACAATCAAATGGGTTATACTTATGTCCTACGCAATAATCAGATGAATAATTACTGTCACCATTTGAGATCAGGGCATATTTTGACCACAAATCCTATTTCCTCGGTTGGCGTTTTGGCTACCCTGTGGACGTAGGGATTTGCTAACATGTGATAGTTATCAAACGCTAATTAACTAAGTGACTGTTCTTTGAACTGTATGCTTCCTTCTGAAAGGTTCATTGATTTGTGTCCTGAGTCATACTATCTCCTCCATTCCTTTCATTCGTTCATAAATTTTTGCTATTAAATTTATTCGTCCGTTGATCAACCTTCTCTTCTAGTGTGCTTTCTTTTGTCGTCTTCTCCTCTCTAACTTATGCCTTTTTCTAAAGGATTCAATTGTTGACTCAGAGAACTTGGATTCTCATGACAATGTTCGGGCCTCTGGTGATTCTGATTCTTTGATAGACGGAAAAGTGGATGAAAAATTAAAGGACAAAGATGAAAAGGATGAGGAAAAGATGAAAGATTCAGACAGAGAAAAAAACAAAGAAAAGGAAGCTGACAAGAAATATGAAACTGACAAGGACAAGCTTAAGGGAGTTGATGGGACCAGTCTGGATGGTCTTTTGCAGAGGCTTCCTGGTTGTGTCAGTCGTGATCTCATTGATCAGTTAACGGTAATATGTTCAGCTTGTATTCAAAATTTCATGTGAGTAGCTAAAATATTTCTTTAAGCCTGCTCATGAAATTGGCTTTTTTCAGGTGGAATTTTGCTACTTAAATTCAAAATCAAACAGAAAGAAACTTACAAGGGCGCTCTTCAATGTCCCGAGAACTTCCTTAGAATTGCTTCCTTACTATTCTCGGATGGTTGCTACGCTGTCGACCTGTATGAAGGACGTTCCTGTAATGCTTCTGTCAATGCTAGAGGAAGAGTTTAATTTCTTGATCAATAAGAAGGTTGGCTTGCGTTCTTTAGCGATTTTTAATTTTCAAAATCTAGGCATTATTTCATTTAGTGTCTCATTAGAATGATAACTTTTCTCTTGGCACGTTCAGTTCTATGATAGATCTGTTTTTCTTTAACGTTGCTCTTTGTACAGGACCAAACAAACATTGAAACAAAGATAAAGAACATAAGGTTCATTGGAGAACTTTGCAAATTCAAAATGGCTCCGCCTAGTCTTGTTTTTAGTTGTCTGAAGGTAATGCAACTCATTTACAATTTTCGAGTTTTAAATCTAGGATATAAACCAAGTTACATCAGTGAATTAAGCTCTGCAAGCTTTTGCTCATCGTTTCAAATAGGTTAGAACTATCAAAGAATCCAAGTACGTTTTGATTTTTTCTGGTCGGGTTACCATGCCTATTGTCACTCCATAAATTTGTCCTGTGCGCTTAGTCATGGTAAGCTTCCACATCAGCAGTCTGTCGAAAGTCATAATAGAAAAGATGGCTGTAATTTAAACGGATAGAATACATGAAAGTGATATTGACATCAATGCATGTGGTCCTTTAAAGGCCATTATCGGGCAAAGAACCATTATATTTAACGACGTTAAGGAAGTAATTTGTATCATTTCTGTGATTACTTCTTGTTCACTAACTAGAGATGGCATCTATTTTCATGCAGGCTTGTTTGGATGATTTTACTCATCACAATATAGATGTTGCCTGCAATCTGCTTGAAACATGTGGCCGATTCCTGTATCGGTCACCAGAAACAACAGTACGTGTGGCAAACATGTTGGAGATCCTGATGCGTCTGAAAAATGTCAAAAATTTGGATCCCCGTCATAGTACTCTCGTGGAAAATGCGTACTACTTGTGCAAACCACCTGAACGGTCTCATCGGGTTTCAAAAGTACGGCCACCTTTACATCAGGTCAGACACACGATCAGTTGATTTTTACGGTTACTAGCTAGATTAGTACGCTTAATCTAATCTCATGGCATGCTCTTCGTGCAGTATATCAGAAAATTACTTTTCACAGATCTTGATAAGTCCTCTGCTGATCGTGTTCTGAGGCAGCTTCGAAAGTTACCGTGGAATGACTGTGAACCATATATTCTAAAGTGTTTTTTGAAAGTTCACCGGGGAAAGTACAGCCAGGTTCATCTCATTGCCCTGCTAACTGTTGGCCTCAGCCGGTATCATGATGAGTTTGCTGTCGCTGTGGTGGACGAGGTTTGTCAGTCTGTTCTATTTTGTCAATATCTTTAGTTATTCAGATACGTTCGAATTATTAGTCATTGCCTTTTTCTTATATCATTTTGGATATTATGAAGTACTGATGCTTGTGGATCCTATGTTATCAAGGACCAGTGAACTATGTCGTTTTACATTTCCTTCTACGGTATACGTTTGCATCCTACACCGATTACACTTTCTATCTTTCTGTGTATAATTCCATGGATCTTGGTTCAGTCATAATTTCTGGTAGATTCAAGAGGCATTTGCCATTTTTTAAAGTTGCCTCAGTCCTGAATCCTGGCTCCCACTGTTTTCTTAGCCATAAAAAAATCTTTCTGAGAGGTGAAAAAAGTTCACTGCTTAGAAAAATGTAGAAAAACAGTAGCATGAGTGGGTTAAATGCGGGCCGTTGAAAAACTCACCTCATCACTCATAGTACAAGCCCCATTGATTGGTGAAATCCGTTTGATATAGTAGATATTAGATCAGAGGTGCCTTTAATAATGACTCATGAGGGAAACAATATGGTTTGGTAGATGGGACACTGATGCGATAAAATTCTCCATTTACTGCCTCTCTATTCCTTCCTTTTATCTTCCTTCTCCATGTAGCCTGATGTTTGATTCCAGACTTGCTACTGCGACAGCTCTTTGACATCGTGAGTTGCCCATGGCGAATTTCAGGTCCTAGAGGAGATCAGGTTGGGATTAGAGTTGAACGAGTATGGAATGCAGCAAAAGCGCATTGCACACATGCGGTTCTTGGGGGAGCTGTACAACTACGAGCATGTTGATTCCTCTGTAATCTTCGAGACACTCTATTTGATTCTCACTTTCGGCCATGGCACACCGGAGGTAAGAGCTTGCTTCTTTCGTGGATCTTATATCATAGACTCCTCACCTCTTTCTAGGCGGGGCGGGGTGGAGTGGGGTGGGGTGGGGTGCAGACACCACAAAGAAATTGTTTACATAGGAGCACAATGGGGCCTATTAAAGGGAAAGCGAGCCAGTTTATCTTAGTGTTCACAAAATTCCACGACATCTGCTTCAATCTATCACCCATAATATATCACAAACCCATGAAGACTCTCTACTTTAATCCGTGATTGGATCCATCCGTGTTTGACCTTTGGACAAGTGCTACTTAGGTCACGCTTATTTCAGCTGCCTGCCTCTAACCGTGATTTATTCATGGTAGAACTTTGTAGTATGTTTCACATTTGCCTTGATTCATCGTCTATATCATCATCACGATCAGTGTTCAAAGCATACACCATTTCCTCGGTTGTCTTGTGTGTCATGGCGCTTCAATCCCCACATTTATTCGACTCTTGTATTGTTCTTTGATTTTCCATTCATCGAAGCAAGATGCATTGGACCCCCCGGAAGACTGCTTCAGGATCAGGATGATCATAACCCTTCTTCAGACATGCGGCCACTACTTCGACAGAGGCTCTTCAAAGAGGAAGCTCGACAGATTCTTGATATACTTTCAAAGATATGTTCTTAGCAAGGGTTCGATTCCACTTGACATCGAGTTTGACATTCAGGTGATCATCATCCCAGTCAACGCATCCTTCAATCCCCATTCTGGCTGCCGCTGCCAATAACTTCAGAGCTCACGGTCTGCCTCATTTCAGGACCTGTTTGCCGACTTACGCCCGAAGATGACTAGACATGCCTCGGTGGAGGAGGTCAATTCGGCGCTCGTCGAGCTGGAGGAGCACGACCGCACAGCCACCAATGAGAAGTCCGGCGGTGAGCGGCACTCCGACGGCGAGTCCCAGAAGCCCTCGAGAGGCACCGCCGCCGCTGCTGCTGCCGCCACGGCCATGGCCAATGGAAAGAGCGCGGCCAATGGGATCGGCGAAAATGGCAGGGCACAGGAGGAAGACAGCGAGAGCTACTCAGACGGCGGCAGTGCCGATCAGGATGCGCAGGAAGATGAGGAAGATCTCTACGAGGATAAAACAGATGATGGGTCGGTCAGCGATGCTGACGATGAAGGTGAGGCCGGGGCAGTCGGGTCCGACGAAGATGATGATGTCCAGATCAGGCAGAAGGCGGCGGAGATCGATCCAAGGGAGGCGGCGGAGTTTGACCGAGAGCTGAGGGCGCTGATGCAGGAGAGCTTGGAGTCCCGCAAATCGGACCTGCGAGCCAGGCCAACTCTGAACATGATGATACCCATGAACGTGTTTGACGGTTCCAGAGACCCGAGAGCCGCAGATGGGGAGAGCGGCGAGGAGACAGTGGATGAAGATGGAGGAAACCTTGGCGGCAACAAGGTGCGGGTGAAGGTCCTGGTGAAGAGGGGGAACAAGCAGCAGACCAGGCAGATGTTCATTCCCGGGGACTGCTCTCTTGTGCAGAGCACCAGGCAGAAGGAGGCTGAGGAGCTGGAAGAGAAGCAGAGCATCAAGCGGCGGATTCTGGAGTACAATGAGAGGGAGGAAGAGGAATCGAACGGCGTCCTGGGCCAGTTGGGCGGCTGGACGCCAGCTGGAAGTGGCGGCAGCCGTTCCGCTGGCTCGGCCAAGCAGGCTGCACGTCATCGGCACCAGCTTCAGGGTGGGGTCTCCTATGGCTACTCCAGGAAGAGATGAAGCTGTTTTATGTGATTGTGATTAGCCGATGCCTCCCGACAAAAGGCAGAAAACAGAGATCTTGTGTGAGTTTGGGGCTGATCATCTCCCTTTTCTGACGGGAAGATGAAGTCTTGGCTTTGGAAGAAAGATCAGGGTTGGCCTCTGTCTGTATATATATCATAATATCGCCCCCTGGAGAGTGAATTGGGCGGAATGGAGCAAGCACTCCATCCGTCTCCCATCTCCACATTTGTGTGCTGGGTTTTTCTCGTCCCTGTTTCTCGCCCTTTCCCTTTGACGGGCCTCCCTGCTTCTCTCACTAGCAGTCTCTTTGGTGGTGATGAGGTCTCTAACAGTCATGGTGTATTTATTATACATATTCCCACCGGTGGTTTCATCCAGGTTCAGCGACTCTCCCTCTTTCTCTCTCTATCACATATCTGTGACAGAATATTTTGATTTAAATGGTAGAATTTGCTCTGAGCTCTCTAATGTGTCCAAGTCACCCATATTTCTGAAAGTTGTCAGATTTGGATACACAATTATAAAAAAAATTGCTCATAATTCTCAAACTTTTTCTGGGTCTCTCTCCTTCCCGTCGATGGACCATCACACTTTCATCATGTTTGAGATGGATGTGGGCATGAAGACATGCTGAAGATCAGTCAATGACTCGATTCCTGGTAGTTACGGTTCCTTAGAGAAAACCTTCCATATATGGGCATCTCCCTCCAGGCATGGGCCCTGCCAATAGGCCTAGGAAGATGCTCAATGATGGTCGCACCGTATCTACGTACCATATTTGGTTAGTCTGCACGCCATGCCGGTGAGGGCCCAGAGGAGAAAGCGTCCGCTGTCGGTCGGCACTGGTGGTATTGAACAATGATTCGGCGAACTCCTCTAGCTCTGAGATTCTAGTGCCGAGAAAGAGATTAGTTTAAGATAATATTAGACTTCTGGGTCATTCATAGAACCCCGATTTCGACTGGAATAGTCTCTCCGTGGTATTCAGGATGACAGTGAATGTGTATCTGTGTGTGTGTGTGTGTGTGTCTGTGTGAGAGGAAGAGAGAGAGAGAGAGAGAGAGAGAGAGAGAGAGAGAGAGAGAGAGAGAACACATGCACGGAGGTCCTTTAGCTCTGAGAATCTAATTGGAAGAAAGAGATTAGTTTTCAGATAAGAATATTTCGTTTTTGTTCATAATAGCCTGATTTCTACTGGAATACCCTCGGGTAGTTCAGTATGAGAGAGAGAGAGAGAACAACAACGGGGGTCCCCCATCTCTCTCTCTCTCTCTCACTCTCTCTAATAATGTTATGAACGGAATCGCCGGGACGTAAACGTCGGGTATGCTCCAACGACGAAATGCCGCCGGGAATGCCGGTCCGCAGCTCGCCCCTTACGTGTGCGCCACGCAGCAAAAGGCAGCTTGCCACGCTTGGAACTAAAGCAACCCGCCCACGCCGGGGCGAGAGGCGGGCGGCGGCACTGGCGGCGGCCGGCATGTGCACCACACCGGCTACGCCACGCGCGCACTGAGAACTCGGCCCACGCGTGGGCCGAGAGCCACAGGGACTCCACTTCACCTGCCCCTGATGGGTGGTGCCAATGGGTTGGGGAGGCCCGAGGGGCTCCACTTCATCGAGTCATCCCCCGTCCACTACCCTTTTCTAGCTGGCGGTGTCCTACATCCCGTAGGGGTGTTAATTGTTTGTATTTTTGCCGGCAATCTCTCTAGGCCTTTAAATCAATTCTAGAATGGAACTTAGACCCGCTCCTTACCTGGATAGATAGTCCCTAGACCTTACCGTTCCGTAGTCTCGTGATCGACCACGCAATCTCTCTCTCTCTCTCTCTCTCTCTCTCTCTCTCTCTCTCTCTCTGTATATTCCTCTTTCTTTATCTCTCATAAGACCGGGCTTCACGAGGGTCCACCCTACCCATGGCCAGCTTATCCTCTCGGCAGTAGCATTTACAGGGAATGTGCCCACATGAAGTCCCACCACTGTAACCGGTGCTCTCTCCAGATCTCTGTGGCCCGGCTGCCTACGCGATGGGGTCGTCGGTTTGGCATCTCTGCTCCGGGGGGCTACGACGGCGATGGGGCTGAGGAAAAGAGAAAGATGAAGGGGACAGCAGCAGCAGCAGCGGCGGCTCTGCGGAATGAAGCGGAGTGGAGGGGCGTTTGACGGGTTGCGCCGCCCCGTGAGTGCTTCGGCCGCATGTGGCGTTTGGCTGATGGCGGCAGGGCGTCACGGGCTCGGGCGCATGTGAGTCCGGCGCGGCCTCCGTCTGCGTATTCTCGCGGCATGTGAGCACGCCGCTCTTTCCAACACCACAGTGTTCACCCGGCTCGATGGACCCTTCTTATACTCTCTCTCTCTCTCTCTCTCTCTCTGTGCGCTTCTTGGCTTTTCTCTGTGTCTCTCGATGAACCCTTCTTACGTAGTCTCTTTCTCCCTCCCTCTCTACGTCAAGCCCTGTGCTGCTACTGCAAGGAGAGGTGACTCGGCAGGGCTTTCTCCAAGAGCAGAGCTCTACCCCTGAACACATTAGCTCGTGGTTCATCACCACAGCATTCATCATTGCGTGTAAAGGTTGTTCCTTCTATCAAGTCTAGTGGCGTTCACATATGTAAGGAAACTATTAGACGAACAGCGGTCACGAAGATTATTTGTGTAAGTTAGTACTAATGAGAATATTTGATCATTTTGTTACGATAAATAATAAGTCAGCTTCATTTCCACACACTAGAAAACAAAGACTCCCAAACAAAGAACAAGCTTATAAACTTTGAAGATCCATCGTTCAATTGGATCTTTTATTCGGCACTTTATCATTAAATTCCTTCAAAATCATTATGATTTCAAGCCGTGAATTGTTGATTGTAAAATCCTATTAGAAGTAGTGACAAATAATCAATATAGGTGTGCAATGTCACAAGTCCATTCTAAGTTCACTAAACACCATCTTGTGCCATACTAGATAGCTTATGTCAACTATTGATGTTTAATGAATACTCCATAGATAACTTTGGCACTGAATATTTCGTGAAGAAATACAATTATTGTTGGTACCATAGATCATATTGTAAATATGCCTATGTGGGGATTGAGAACATTGTTCTTTTCCTAGGTCTCAAGGGTTTATAAAAAGTAATCATTCATAAGGTGGATCAATGCCCCGTCTAAGAGTGGAATCAAATATAGGAATTATTTTTAAATGAAATATTTCATCACACCATCTCACATCGATGAAATATTATTTCTTTTGTAGACAAATTTTGCACCAAGAGTAGAAATTATTTGGGAAAATTATTGTTCCTCAGAGCAACTAACCATAGTTATCAGCCAAGAGACCATGGAAATCTATCCTAATGACTTGCTTCCATTGAAAGGACCAAGTGCGGGAACTAAATTGTTTGATCCTGGTTCCAAATTATTGGCAGAATCCGGCTCAATGGAGCAAATCTATGAAATTAAAAGCACGTTGAACTTTCTAATATGGTGAGGAGGATTCTCCAATAAATAGGCGTGTCCAAGTTGCGTGGAACCTAATGGCTAAATTTGGCAAAATCGGTCCACGTGTTCATCAGCCAAACAATTCTCCTTTATATATACATGGCACTAATTGTTCATTCAAATAAAGTCACAAGTATGTTTGAAGCACTGCTTATTTCGTATGTTCTAAGAGATGCGTATCCCTCTCCACTGTCTGGTCCACCATCTTCCCGATATCCCCCAATCCCAAAAAGAGGCCTTCTTTCATGGGACCTGTGGTGGCCCAGCGAAGACTCCAAAAATTGTCTCTTTTTCGTCCATTGCGTGAGACTGAGCCGTCTCTATAAACGGAGCCTTCTTCCACCCTCCCTCCTCGTCCTTCTTTCTTCCTCCGGCCATGGAGTTGTTTCAGGGCGGCGGCGGCGGCCTCGCGAGGAGAAGGGCATTCCCTGTAAACCATCTCCCCCTCTTCCCTACCGGAGCTCCGACACGAGGTTGTTCTCGAAGAAGATGAGTTTCTCCTTCTGCTGATCTTTCTGGGTTCGGCTTTCATGCACAGGCGGCGGCGCTTCTGCTGCTGCTGCTGTCTGCCGGTTCTCTCGGCAGGGGTGAATGCAGGAGGAAGGGGAGAAGCGGGGGCGACGGAGGGGGCGGCGGCAGGGGGAGCAGCAGGAGGAGAATCGGCCCACCGGCGAGGACGGGGGACGGCGGATACGAAGGGTCGCCGTTTGTGTACAGGACGATGACGTGTTGCAGGGCGATGACGGTGGCGCTGCCGGACTTTGGCGGCGTCGGCGATGGCGTTACCTCCAACACGAGGGCCTTCCAGTCGGCGGTGGCCCACCTGGCCCAGGCGGCCCCCTGCTCCAGCGGCGGCGGCCAGTTGTACGTCCCCCCCGGGCGGTGGCTCACGGGGAGCTTCAACCTCACTAGTTGCTTCACACTCTACCTACACCGAGACGCCGTCATCCTCGGCTCCCAGGTCGGCCCCTCTCTCTCTATCTATCTCTCTCTATCTCACTCTAAAACTCTAGTCTCATGACTTTCTTCGTTCGTCTCACACGCCGGATTGATGACGATAGAAGAGAGCCGCAACAGGAAACATCGATTCTCCAAAAATTGGGTGAAACAGACAAAAAACGCAATCGAGGAGGTCCCTTTCAGTCGATTCAGTTCTACCTGTTCTTCATGCGCAATAACTCATTTTCAGTGTGGCACAACAAATTCAAGGCTATCAAAATTCAAGGCTATATAAGATCCTCGCATGAATCGAGAATCTTTTATCTTCTCAGTTAAGGAGAGAACCGGAATTCATTTGTCTCCTGTTTGTGTGACGTATCATACTGGCCTTACAAGTCCCTCTCTCTCATGAACTGATTACAATCGCTGCCCTTTTAGAGTCCTCAGTCCAGAGAGAGAACGTAGAATTTCCATTTTAAAGGCATACGTACTAATCCATCTTTCTTTTCCCTCGCACACTCCCTCTCATGAATCAACCACAGTCACCGCCCTTTAATATTCTTCTAATTAAACCTACAATCGAAAGTTACTATCCTCTTACAAGTCGACCTCACCTGTTTCCTTCCTATATATCTCTCTAGACCCATCTCTCTCCCCCTCAAGAGTTGGATTACGACCCCGGTAAGTTCTAAGTTAGTGAGAGAAAATCGTGTTCAGCTGCTTGGTTGATACATATCCTATCGATCTCTCTCTCTCTTCCTCTTTCTCTCATGAATTGACCATGCAGGACATGAGCGAGTGGCCGATCATTGATCCCCTCCCCTCCTACGGCAGGGGGCGGGACGCCCCCGGCGGCCGCTACAGCAGCCTCATCCTCGGCTCCAACCTCACCGACGTAGCCATTACAGGTACCAACTAACTAAACCCCCTCGAACAGGAAGGAAGACGGCGCCGCCGCCGACCCGCCCCCACGCTGACACCGCCGCCGGCGCTGTTGTTGCAGGGGACAACGGCACCATCGACGGTCAGGGAGCGGCATGGTGGTCCAAGTTCAGATCCCACAACCTCCGCTACACCCGCGGTTACCTCATCGAGCTCCTCTTCTCCGACCAGATCCTCATCTCCAACCTCACTCTCGTCAACTCGCCCTCCTGGAACGTCCACCCTGTCTACAGCAGGTCTCCTCCCCCTCCACATACACCACCAACCATTTTAGGGTTTCATGACGATGACCATGACCCTTGTAGCTTTCTCCTGGCCCTGCAGCAACGTTATCGTCTCCGGCATCAGCATCCTCGCTCCGGTGAACTCCCCCAACACCGACGGCATCAACCCGGGTGAGAGAAACCTCCCCCGCCGCCATAGCCGACCGCCTCTCACGGCCTCCATCTCCCATGGCAGATTCCTGCTCGCAGGTGAGGATCGAGGACTGCTACGTCGTCTCCGGTGACGATTGCATCGCCATCAAGAGCGGGTGGGACGAGTACGGCATCGCCGTGGGCATGCCGAGCCGGCAAATCAGCATACGGCGGCTCACATGCATCTCCCCCACCAGCGCCACCATAGCTCTCGGGAGCGAGATGTCCGGCGGGATCGAGGATGTGCGTGCAGAGGACATCACCGCCGTGGACACAGAATCTGGCGTGCGGATCAAGACCGCCGTCGGAAGGGGAGCTTACGTGAAGGACATCTTCGTGAAGGGTTTCGTGATGAAGACGATGAAGTGGGCCTTCTGGATGACCGGAAACTACGGCTCCCACGCCGACGAAGGCTTCGATCCTGCCGCCATTCCCGTCGTCTCCGGCATCAGCTACAGCGACATCACCGCCAGCAACGTGACCACCGCCGGCAGACTGGAGGGGATCCCCGGGGCGCCATTCACGGGGATCTGTATCTCCAACGCCACCATCGAGGTCGTCAAGTCCAAGAAGGCTCCCTGGACCTGCTCCGACATCGAGGGCGCCACAACCTCCGTCACCCCGCCGCCGTGCTCGGCGCTGCCCGATCAAGGCGGTGCCGCCACCCCCTGCCCTTTCCCCCCGGAGAGGCTCCCCATCGACATGGTCGAGCTCAAGGAGTGCTCCTCACTCGTTCCTCACTGAAACCCCCCCACCCTCCTGTGCAACATTTCCCCACCATCAAACCCTCCGGCATAATCGCGATGCGCCAAATGCATTCGCTCTCTAAGTCCATATCTACTGACAGTAGCGCCAATAGGTAAGAAAGAGAAATAACACAATCGAGGGCGAGTTCTTGAGCGACCCCACCTCTCCCAACTGAGTTCCCCACCAAAAGCATCCTCAGTTTTGACCCTTATCGGGGCTGGTAGTTCTGATCTACCTTGCGGGGAAGGTGATAGGTACGGAAAAGGTGCTGGATGATGGCCATCAGTTCACAGATAATCTGAGAGTGCGGAAGGCCTTTCTATTTGACGAGCATCTCTAAGGCATTAGGCCCGTGGTACGAATCTAGCTACAACTTCTAGTTCGACAGTCAATTGGAAGTCTTTATTAAGAACTGGCGGAAGAGGTTGACTGAAACAATTGATAGTTAAAGTCTTCTTCAACTCTGAGACGTGAAAAATTGGGTAGATTTTGGCGGCGATTAAGAGCTCGAACTTATATGTACTTGCACTGATCTTGTTAAGAACACAAAATGGCCCAAAATACCCAAGAGATACTCTCTAGATTCGCCTGTTTCAAGGATAGCATCTTGTGCAGCTGAAGTTTTAAGAAAAGCTTATTGTCATCTTTGAATTCAACATCCTTGTGATGCGGTTGGCTTGGACCCTCATTTGGACTTGGGTTCAAGTAACGTGTTGTCTAAGCTCAGTCAAAATGAGGTCCTTTGACAGAAGTAGAAGAGGGGAGTGAGAAAAGAGGATTGGTGAGGGATCTTGTCCATGAACTGTCACAAAAAATGTAATGATAATAGGAGTAGAATGCCGTGTTACCCCAGAATTCAACCTAAGGTAACCTTTGACTCCATGTCTTGAACCTATTACACTAGAAACGTCAAAGATAAGTTTTAAGGTGCTTGGTTGAGTACCCCAATGTGACAGATGGTTGGGGATGGATGGTCATGCTCTGCTTGTGGGTGCCTTAGAGGCAAGAAAGCTCAATCTAAAATACAATTGTGAAGAGGTTTTGGACTTGGAGATAATATAATGAATTTTTTTATGGATTTTGACCACAAACTTTAAAAATACTTCGATATGGTAAAATGATCATTTTTTCTTAACATGTTCATGACTACCAAAAGAGTCTAATAAAAATGAGAGTTATACAATCCTTCTATAAAACCCATAATGAGATCATCCTAAATATGGTCAGAAATTATAAGAGGTTGGATTAAACCCAATAGAGTGGTGGCCTCATAGTTATTGTGCTTAGATGTTTGACAGTGCTCCAAAAATTTTGATAGCATGTTTCATCCCTTGTCAATGAAAGTCTAGAATAATCTATTTATAAGTTGATCACAGCCTCAAGTCGATCCAATAACATTATCATGATAGACATGTGGGATTTGAGGGATCATATCAGATGTGGAAGGAAGAATTAGACAACTCTCATATAAGAGAATACCTTGATACCATTTGCACTTCAGGCAATCATTCAATCCTTGTAATTGGATTGCTTTGATTTTGAAAAGATGTACATCATCAATAATTTTTGAAAGCAATACATTTTATGGCCTCCATAAAATGAGGGTGAGGTAACCTAGAAAGGGCATTGACAGTTCTATTCTATGTTCTGGCTATTTAATTTTGAACTTTTAGCCAATCATTTTTGGTACTTTAATTTATTTGGTGTTGTTCAAAAAAACTTCAAACTGATTTGGTCAGTTAAATAACAAAAGGATGCATCATCAAATAATATTTCTACTTGAGAATCATGAAATTGTTGTCATCAATTTTTTTTTATAGATTAATTTCAAACAATTTCTAGGTGATCATGCTATAGACTAAAGTAGGCCACCGATTGACAATTCTACATGAAGATTGTGCCCACTCCATACTCTAATGCATCCATTTCTAATTTAAAGGGTTGAGAGAAATTCAGTAAAATCAATACTAGTATGATGCTCATGACTTATTTTAGATAATGAAAAGCTCTTTTTACTTCATTACTCCATTTGGAGGGATCCTTTGTGAAAATGTCTCAGCATAATCTTAGTATTGTAGAAAATATTTAAATTAAATAATCTCCATAAGTGCTTGAACTATTCTAAAATTTCTCTAATGATATCTTCTTTATCATAAATAATTATTTTTAGCAATTTAAATAAAAAATGTCATATAATGAAAAAATATAATATGACTTATTAAATAATTAATAAACACATCACTTCCAAGAAATGCAAAAGAATGTAAGAGAAAACTATTGATGTATATTATTATAATGTAATTTAATATCATCTATGTAATACCACCATTGTGTACCATTCAATACCCTTTGTGAACATATTAATCCTTGGCATATAACACTTTGACATGTTAATCTTTAGCATATTATCAAAATCCCAAAGATCTTTAGTAGATTATATATGTGAGGCATGCATAAAAGGAAAACATACTAGATAAACATTCAAAACTAAAAAGGCCAGCTAAACATTTAGACTTGATTCACTTACATTTATTGTTCCAATTAAAACTACTTATTTATGACGAAAATATTATAGTTTAATTTTACTTGATTATTTTAAATGCACTTGATCATTTTCTTAGCTTGTATGAATGTTTTGTTCCCTTGTTGAAGCTCTAGTGACATTTTTAGTTTACACTTGTTGCTTAGTGATTTTATTTTTTCAGAACATACAAGATCTTTGGTATTTTGATAGTTGTGCTAGGCTAAAAATCCCTAACAATCACACACTTTACTGTGATTCATTTTTGAAGAATATATAAAATTTGATTGGAGCCATAGTTTCAAAATCTCAAATGAGACCAGCCATTAATTAAAACCACTACCTCTATACATTTTTTCTTTTTCCCTTTTGGCTCATTGTTAGTAGTTTCATCCTATTCATTAGGGTCACTACTATGCATAAGGCCTTCTTAGGGGATGTTCCATGGTTACATTTATGTCTTTTAGAAAAGGCTGTCATGCATAATGAGGATTCAACCAGGTTTGATATACTTAAGGATTTCTTATTTGTAGTGATGAAAAAAAGAATGTGATTTATGTCATGGCTAGAATGACATTTTGTGACCACAACTAAAGAAATCCTATTATTGTATGAGAAACTTTTCTTGTTGAGCTGATCCATAGTTATAGCTTTATGAGTAATGTTTAGGTAATGAATTTCCCTATTCACGCTGCAATATGCATCATCTCTTCCATGTTAACTAGTAGTTTTGTATTCATCATAGACTTTAGGAGCTCATTATGTTTAGTGACAGTATTTGGTTCAAATCTAAAGGCAAGTATATGTCTAATGATTTGGCAGAAGTTTCATTATCCTTGTCCGTAAAAATATTTCAATTCTTGAGGTTGTAATTATGATTAGGGGTTCATAGAGAGAGTTGGCATTATTAATGACTCATATGAGGCTGCAAGTGGACTAACTAGGTATAGCCCTTCACTTCAAATTATATTTGATACCCACTTATGAATTTAGTTTAGTTCCTTCCCAATTTATAATTCCATCAAGTTGAAGGGTACAAAGAGAGGGAGAGAGATAGAATAGGAGAAATCTAGATGTCTTTTTTTTCATTTCATTCTGGATATTATATTAGTACCATTGAAAAATAGAGTTGGCCTTGGTGGACTCTTATGTTGTCCATTTAATAGCCTTGATCATGGTCATTCATATTATGGTTCTTGAATATTATCATATTTGAGATTATGGTCATTCAATCTTTATCACCCAACATACATAACTTTGTAATTGTCGAATATTTTATACATGAAAAGACTTTAATATCCAATTCTCTCATCCCACCATCCCACAAAAACAATTCAAATTGTTTGAAAAAAGCTAACAAAGAAAGGATGATGGGGAGCATCTATTTGATATCAAACTATGAGATTTTAAGGGTAAATACATAAAATTCAAATATATTTTGAACCATAGAGTGCTGCACCCGTTTTTGAATCAGTCCTCAATTTGAGTTAGGACAATTGGACCTTTTTCTATGGGCCTATTTTGATGGGCTAATAAGAACTAGGCCAACTTCATCAATAATATTTTTTATAATGTGGCATGAATGAATGATTCTTGGAGGGATATTTAAAATGTCAAATATGAGGGTAGAGACGTGCATAGTTTATTTATTAACTATGAGAGGAGACATTATTTTTAAGTTACTATATTAGGGGCAAAATGATAAATTTATACTAGGTCACAAAGAAATAATAATAACTTATCAAGCTAAAAAATCACAAGTCTCATTTATTAGTAAAGTGTTGACAATTCTTCATTACCTCTATCTTACTTTGTCCACTTCCACTCCATCAGTCAATTCCTAATTCTTGAGATATTCTATCTTGTAGTTGTAAAATATATATCTCATGGTCTTGATGTCCAAATAGTGATCCTCTAGTAATTTGAATACTTGGGACATATGTTGATTGTGTTAATTGATCTTTCATATAAATTAATACTTTAAAAAATATATTAATATTTTTTAAATAAATAAATAAAAATATAATTCATCAAGGCTTAAAATGTGATAGTATTTTTTAGACTAAATATATTATTAAGAATATATAGTAGACATTGTGTGTTTTGATTACTACTTTATAAACATATTCTTTCTACTTTGTGAAACTCATATAATAATCCTTCAACTATAGGGATTGAGAACTGACGTGACTCAGTCGTTGTATATTAAACCACGCAAATATAAAATTTATAAAACTAGAAAATACAAATTTTCGGATATTTAGAAGTATTTCTAAATAAATATATAAATTATAATTCAATAAAAATTCCAAAAATAGCATTAATTTTCCAGGTCAATCACAGGGATGTAATATAATATCTGGTAATTATTCAGAATTTTTCTCAATGAATACGATTTTCTTACAAATTTTATACTAGGAAATAAAAGGAAATATATTTAAAATTCACAAAAAAAAGGAAATAAGGGTGCAGGCGT